ATCCAGAGTGTACAGATGGACAGATTGTTCATTGTGCACTGAATTGCGGGTCACAGACCTTAGACCCAGATATCACCTTTCTGTGGCTCTCAAGTGCTTGGAATTGGGCTCGACTCTGCAGTACACTAAAAAGATCACAGATCAACTGCAGAGTTGCTGCTTTGTCTGTAGTGATGTCACACAACCATTGCACACAAGCATTTCAGATTCAAGTCTACTTCCAGCGCATGCACATTTAACTAGGGGAGAAGAGATGTAAACAACCACCTGTCTGTAGTAGGACTTCTGTAGTGTTCCAAAGCAGAAGTTAGCATTTCTGATATAAAATCAGCAAAACAATGCAGGTTTTGTTTTTCTCCCATCAGTGGTATCCTGAAGTGAATCACTTCTGCCAGGGTGCCCCCCTGGTACTGATCGGCTGCAAAACAGACCTTCGGAAAGACAAAGAGCAGCTGCGTAAGCTCAGGGCTTCTAAGCAGGAGCCCATTACTTACAACCAGGTGAGTGTAAGTGCTTTTACAGTATTGTTCTCTTTGCCAAAGTAGAGACATTTTAAGTGTTTTGCATATCTCAGAATCCTGGAGTGTCTGAAAAGAAACCATTTGCTACTCCATCTAGGCTTACTGCGCTCAATTTCCCTTCACTGCATTATTACTGATATAAATTTGTAGGCCTCAACAGGTTTCTTGGACTTCCTTTCTAATTTTTATCGTAATACATTGCTCCCATCACTGGTACTTTGACTGGGATTGTGAGAAAGAATAAATGCTAGGATACACATTAAAGGATTAAAAATACTGATTATTCTGGAATAAAAGCATTTTGCAAACCCTATTGAGAAAGAAGCCCTTCCAAGGACGGTAGCCAAAACATCTGTGAAAGTTCTCTAATAAACTTTTCTTTGAAGTATCTAATATAAGAAAAAAAATCTACATACTATCAAGTATTTCCAGCTTAAGTATTACAAAGTATTGAGACACACAGCTGGTGTTATGGGATGGCATTGCTGCCCAGGTACAGGGGAAACAAGCGGTGGTTGAACTGCTTGTACCAGGTCACTTGAAATCTTTCTTCTCTGGTCTTCTACTTTTTCATTATTAAATATAAAGCCATCTTCCTCCTCTCATCTCAGATTATGAACAGCAGCTGTCTAACTGAGACATAAGTCCAAGAAACAAGGTTAAGTTCACTAAGACCTTGAATGAATCACTTCTTTCTCTAACGAGCGTGAAAAAAGCCTGCCACAGCATCACCATTCAATCATGTTAGGACTTAAAAGTTTGTCTTCCTTGCTCACAAGATTAGACGACTGTCCTCTCACTTTGTGAACAGCTGCAAGATTGTCCCTCACTGGCATTAATAATCCCCTTTGTCACCCTCTCACGAGGTTCAGGACAAGCAACAGCCTTCTCTGCGGAGTCAGCTGAGGCCTCACATGTGGCACGATTACCACCTCAGAACAGTACATGCGTAACAGACTCTCCCTCCAGCAGCTCATCACAGGAATGCTCATAGAAGAGGCGAAGCTCACCAGCCCAGACCTCCCTTTGTCACCTAACAGCCCTCCCATTTCCTTTCTCTCCCTTGAAACACGCACCACCTCAGTCTTTTACAGCTGAGAGCATCTCGAGTCATGCAGTGTGATGCTTCTGATGCCAGGCACAGAGGAGCTGAACAGTGTCTGTCAGCACTGCAGCTTGCAAACAACTGGAAGGAAACAAACTTCACTTAAATGTGCTGAAGGAAAATCCCCGTGTGTACAAGTCTGAGTGCTCAAGTGACCCCATTCCCAGCTTATAATGACTAAATGCAGAGTTTGTGAGTTGTGGATTGCAGATCTAGAATTCACACTCGAAGGCTCACAAGCGCTCAAAACTGGGAGCTGACTCTGCAATGAAAGGATTGCAAGCAAAGTAAGAAGTAGCTGTGTTTTGTCTGTAGTGATCTCACACAACCATGATTGCATGCAAACGTTTTAGATTCTACTGTTTCCTCTGCATCCATTTGGGTGATGTCTGTAGGCACTCATCTGCATGTAGTAGGATTTCTGCTGAGTCTTTGTGATGCTTTGAAATGGAAGTCAGGATTCCTGCATGTGCACCAACAAAACAAAGCAAAACATTAGTCCAGACCTTACTGTTGCATGTGGCACGCAGTGCTGAGGCTTGCAAACTAAACATGACATTGCATGTCGTACCTGAAAAAAGATCCTCCTTGTAGACACATTCATTTGAATATCTATTAAAGAAATGCTTTTCCTACGATCAACTTAGGAAAAAAAAAACAAAAGCAGCAATGGTACTTCAGTTAATAACCAACACACTAGCACTGTGCTCACAGGAGGCAGTTTCTTTTGGAAGATGACCTCACATTCTGAAGATGTACAAAGTAATTCCTTTTTGCTTCCATCTCGCTTTCCTTTTCTCCCCTCACGCATCAGGTTCATGACTTTTCTTACCTGTTCTTTCCAGGGTGAAGCAGCCTGCCAGCAGATAAATGCAGAAATTTACCTGGAGTGCTCAGCAAAATGCCGTGAAAACATAGAAAAAGTTTTTAAAGAAGCAACAACCATTGCATTGAGTGCCATGAAAAAAGCCAAGCGCCAGAAGAAGCAGCGAGTGTGCTCAGTGTTATGATCTGGACTGCAAGAGAGCATTGACAGCTATAAACCAAATTACTGGATTTTAGCAAGAGTGACAACTCTTTTTTTCCCCCAAGACACATTTTGTATCCCTGCAATGATTTCTATTTTAAAATTTTAAAACTTTTTAGGTTTTGTTTTTTTCTTTTAACTTTTTTTTTCCTTTTTTACATTTAAAACCTTTTGCCACATTGCTCTCACAAAGTTTTCAAGGCTCTTTATCAAGCCTACCTGATGCTACACATTCACCTGGCTTTTGCTCCTACCAGCAAGCCACCAACAGTCCGGTCTTGGATTCACTACTTAATCTGAAGTGAACACAGTGACTGTATTGCATGACTGTTTTGTCTGTTGGTTTTTTTTCCTCTGCAAAATCATGGCTTCTTGTAGCTACAATTTAGTCTTTTTCAGGCAAAAAAAATCTTTCAGAAGTTTTGGTGGAGCAGCCTACGTACCAGGCACCTTAAAATAAGCAGGAATTAAGTTCTCTATTGACATTCCCAAATTAATTTACTTGGTGGCAGTGGTGTGAGTTAGCATCAAGCTGCTGCCATCGTGTACAGCCAAAGCATCCACTCACTGCCTCTTGACTCGCAGGCCAACTTTGCAGAGCTGCCCCTTTAGAAGTTTCCTTGCAGCATCCAAAACTGTAGCATTGTTATGCATCACTGAGATATATGCATTGGTTGCTCTGAAATTTAATTTTCAGCATGCAAAGTTACCAGTTCTCCAGTCAGCCACTCTGTGCAACATCAAGTCCGTTTTGCAATAAACTTATATATATAGCTTATTTAATACATGACATGCAAATATTCATGTGTGCTCGGGGGAGGTAAAATGCTTTGTAACTCACGTTCATCAACTGGCAAAATCCTCTCTGCTACTGTAAATTAAATTTTCCCTTTTGTGATGGAAGTGACAGTTGAGTGTTTAAGGATGGTGGATGTTCCTGCTGAGCAATCTAGTTCGTGTGCCTTGAACCTCCCAATTCTTTTGCACATTCTCTTGCAGTGAGAGCTCCAGTTTCAGAAGCAATCACTAGTCTGTAGTCATTATGAGCCAGCCCTGTGAGGGTGAAGGTTTCTGCAGTACAACTGTTACAAGTTTTCTTATTGAGGCAAACTAAGGGAGAATACACAGGACTGCTATGATTTTCTATGATTGTCCTGCATTACAGTAACAAGAGAATACTTTGCCAGGACACTTGGGCAGTGCATACCAGGTGCCTGTTACTAGAAAATACTTCAATGCACAGCCTGATAACTACACATCATTCAGGTTTCACACAGTTTTATCCTCTGCTGGTGAAAACACGGCCAGCTTGTGAAGAACTGTTTTGGAATGAACCATCATACCATTTTACATGCAGGATAAAACCTTGATCCTTGAAATCTAAACTCTTATTTCCCCCCAACTCGTTTTGAATCAACAAAGGTGATCCAAGTTTAAAATTACAAGCTTAAAGATTATGAAACAATAAAACAAAAACACACATCACCTTACCCAGTAAGTCTGAAACATCACCATGCTGATTTACCCTCAGCACGTCTGGAATCTTTCCTTGCTTTTATAATCCCAGTTTCTCACGCTGCAGAATTCAAGTTGCTTGCTGAAGTGTCCCCTCACCTCTGACTGCTCAGCTCCACCAGGTTCTAGCACTGCTCTCAGAAGAATTTACATTTCATAAATGGAGTTCAAAGAAGCACAAAAACCAACCTCACACAGGGTGCAAGATACAACCCAGCTAGAGTAAAAATCGTTCAAAATATGCAATTTGCAATTTTTGTGCCCACACGGCGGTGACACCATAAGGATAAATTATTTGCCTTGCAGCAACAAAACAACTGCTGAAATATTTGAAGTCTGTAGTGCATAAGTATTTCCTCATGAGCATGCTTACTGGGAGATGGGCAGAACTCGCATCGTTCTGCCAAAGCCACTTCTCCAGTTGGGCCCTGTGCTAGCTCAGAGGGAGCCAGCACAGCTGAGCAGCACGCTGCATACAGCAGCTCAGGAGCACAGATGGTAAAGCACTCAAACAAGCCTATTGAGCTAAGTTCAAAAAGCACAAGGAGCTAAGCAAGATGGGAGTCTTCTTGTTCTCAGCCATCCTTCTGAACAAGTGTTTACATTCTCTTAACAACTGGTATCTAATGAAAATATTTCATACTTCTTAGCCTGTCTTCACCTCTCAGAACAGCACTGGAGCAAAAAAAAAGAAAACAAAAAAAACTGCAAATAGGACCTGAAGTGCAACTGCACTTACTGCCACTGATCAGGAGTATTTTCTGGAAAAACTATGCCTCAAAAGACAACCCAAAGGGGAGTGTGTTTGTTACTAAGAAGGGGCTGAAGCAGCTGCATATTGTATGGTTTATTTTTTTTCCAGGCTTGGACAGATTACCTGATCCCTCTCAAAGAGGGCTAGCAGAATTCCCTGCCATTTAACAACTGGTTTTGCTTGCTTGTTTTTAAGAAGATTTCTTTAAATAGCTTCTTGGAAGTGTATATAGCAGCAGTATGGTACAAAGATGGGCATTTTTCCACAGTACACACAGATTAGTATTGCCACTGAAAATGCCTGAAACAAATGCTTTTTAAAAACAGCATTCAGTCCGTATTACTGATCAACCTGGAGTGTTCATAAAGCTTTGCAAAATTCCATACTAGAGTTTAAATAATAAAACTGGAAAGTGTTAAATATCATTCCAGGACTGGAATTACAGTAGATCCCACATTCTCTCAATGCTGGCTTCTTGCCGAGCAGGTGCATGCTGCTAAATATACAGAAAAACCCAATGCAAACACGTTTGGTATTAAATATACATAAATAGCAGGACTGTAAACTGGAGAGCCATGCTTGCATAATATGCTGAGTCTGTGCTGGAAGAGTCCACATCCTTCAGCAAACACAGGACAGATGAGTTCTTCAAAGTCCGTTCGCAATGCAGCAGCAATTAAGGAGGCTCCGTCCAACGCCAAGCGCCTGCTGTGCGCACAGGGACAGCGAGCTCCAATGTTGGCACCCAGCACCCCCTGGAGGGTTCACAGTTTCTTCATTTTGTCTTTGTTCTTCTGCAGCTTAGTGTGCACCACTTTGAGAGTAGTGAGGAAGTTCCCAAGGAAGAGCAGCAGAAATGTGAAAGCCAGCACACAAACCTGAGGGGGAAAGGTGGGGAAAGTTGAGCGTTAAGTAAGGGTCAGATGAATTGGGGCAGGAGTGCTATTTTCACCAACTTTAAATTAGCTGCAGTTCTAAGTTCAACCCTTACTGGTTGGCAAGTTCAGAGATGCGTTAGCACCTCAGGAAAGAAGACAGAAGACAAATATGCACCCACACATCTAGTTCTATGAGTTCTAGGAAGCCCATTTGGATCATGATCATCTTGGCAGCAATATTACGGCATGGTTTGTTTTTGAACTTACTGCCATTCAGCATCAATGGACTCTCACAGACAGTAAATCAAATCGTTAAATCCAGGTAGCCAAATGTCTTTAAGGATGTGGTCAAAACATCCCTCCCTCCCCCCGTTTTTTCTGAGCAGAACCAACACTCACCTGCCATTCCTTGCACTCCTTATGCCTGGACAACCCAAAAAGCGTGATTGCATTATATAGCTGCCAGAACTAAGAAGAAAAAAGAATCATTACCATCAAAGATTTAGAAATGTTTGCCAGATGGATGTGATCCAAAGCACCGTGTAACTGCACGAAGCACAGCACCACCAGCACACCCTCCCCAGCCCCACCATGGCAGAGGAGGAAATGGGACAGCCCAACTTACATGTCCACAGAACAAGAAGGGAAGGAGAAAAGTCAGTCCCCGCCACATCCAGGACTGAAATCCCTCTGGAAAAGGTTAACAGAGAAGAGAAAGTTAGCATAGATAAGAAAGGACTGTAGCTGCAGCTCATCCCAACAAGATCATCCCATAAGAACTATTCCTGTCCTGTTCAGTAATAATCAGTTAGGTTAAAATAAAGTCTCAAAGTTGTGGTAATGGCAGGAGGATGAAAATGCAGATGAATACCTCCATCTTAATGCTCTCAAGAGCTGATGGAGATCAGAGCCCTGTTTCCAACCCACAGAACTCAAGGAAGAAAATAGAAGTCTCACTCCCATTCCTGCCTGTGTCTTAGAGGCAGCAGGACAGGGAATATCAGCTGTGCAAAGCTTGCTTTCTGAAGGCCACAAAGCCACCCCTGTATCATTGCCTTTAAAACCTACCCCATCTGTACTGCAGTATTGCAGGCAACCTCACCTACTGTAAGGTCCAGGTGGTTTCTCTCCCCCAAAGCACGGAGCCTATACAGGCAGCCCCTTTGATAATAATACTGTAGGAACTGAACACAACCTGGAGAAAGAGAGAAAGCATTACTGGTATGTTTATAATACTTCTGAATGGCTCACGAAAACTATTTTAATAACGTTTAATCCATAGCATTATTGTTTAGACTTGCATGTTGTATATTTGTAGTTGTATGACACTGTTTATATATGCACAGTTTAAGACTCGTATTTAACAAATAGAAATGTTTTTTTCTGAGCACACAACATAGAAATATCTCCTGAAATACCAAGGTAAAATATACTCACTCTGAAATATTGAAAATGCTAAAAATTGACTGCGAAACATTTGATACATGAGTCCATCTGGCCTGAAAGCAAAATGCAGAAGAAATATTTATTTGATTAAGAAGCATACGATGCAGTGCCTTGTCAGCCAAGGAACCCATTAGTAAATGAAATAAGCAGCTGATAGCCAGCCCACCCCACCCCATCTGGGAATCCAGAAAGCATGCTACAGGCACACATCACAGCCTGTCACATCCTGCCCATCCTTTACACCACTGTGGATGGTAGGAGATGGTCTGATGGCTTGGGCTGCCCCCTCTTACTGATTTGCCTATTGCAGTTACCTGCTTTAATGAGATACTGATTAAAGCCATTCAGCTGAGTCTGCATCACAAATCTAAGCCATAGAGCAGCACTGCTTGTGTTTCTTTTCTTAACTGCAGTTCTGGATACATGACCTTTTGCTCCAGCTCCTGTATGATCTCCTTAGAAATTCAGCAACAAAAACCATGTTGTTTTAAAACAAATTATTAACAGATCAGTTCATGTCAAAGCTGAAGTGGATCATATAGGCACCACACACAGAGTGCATTCCTGTGTTGTTTGACCAACACCATCATCTGTTGGAATGTAACTTGCATTTTTTGCTTCACACCTGGTTTAGGTACTGGCTTATAAGCAGAATCCCATCCTAAAAGCTAAGTGCTGCTTGTTTGCTCAGTTTGATAAGACAAGTTTGATTCTTTGCTATGTGCTTGGAAGAACCTAGAGCAGGGCAGGGCAAACTCACCACGTTAACATTACTCCAGACAGGAACGTGGAGACATAGTGATGAGACACCCACCAGCCTTTGATCCTGAGCAGAAAAAATAAGAGTTAGATGAGAAACATAAAATGTTAACAACTTAAGTCTGGCTTTAAAGACAAAAATTAATCCTGACTGGATTACGGATAAATAGATGGCCTAGCTCAAACAAGAAATAAAGCTGGTGGCAGCAAAGGAGTTTCTGGGAAATCACCAAGGGGCCATCAAGGCAGCCTGCATTGCCCATGTGCTCCCTGCAGTGAGGACCCCCAGAAAGCCCACCTCCTGCTACACCCCTGGTTTGTTTTGTTTTTTCCCAGCACAAAGCCACAAAGGCAGCACACAGACAAGTGTTGGGCAGGACACTGGGAGCAGTGGGGCAGGAGCTGAAAGGCACCATCCCAGCTCCATGACTGGGTTGCAAATGTGGGATGACTGGAGTGAGGCACACAACTGAGGTTCATCCTGAGCAGTACTGAAATGACTTAATACATGATGTTTTTTGGCCCACATCCCCTTTTTTTTTCCTGTGCCACGCAAATAAATGAAGTCCTCTGTTAAGTTGCTGTTTCTTTTCAGACATGAATGCTGCAGAGAGCTCAGAAAATTACAGTAAAGCAGGAAAGAGCTGTAGCGAGACTGGATCAAGAAGTGAAAAAAATGCTTCAGGGATGGCACTGATTTGGAAAGTAAGCCAACACAGTGGGTTAATTTTGGGTGCCTCCAAAGGTCTGAAACATTAAGCACCTAGTTAGCACTAAGCAGATGTGAGCCAGTTCTGTGGCTGCAACAAGCCTGGGTTCAGAGGTTTCTCCGCTGGCAACGGGTAAGCCACTTTCCATCCCTGCACACCCTTTTCTTTTGCACTTCGTGGAGCTTGCCATGTTCAGCTCTCACACACCTGCACGGCCTCAAGATCCGTGACCAGTGGCAAGATTTCTCCCTTGTTTTCAGTGGGCAGGGAGCTGTAACACCAGAGAACTGCTCAGAAATCATTTTCATTCACAAATGCCACAGGCTGGATGGAACACACTGACTGTTGCTCACCCATCTCTATCCTGGCCTCCACCCAGGGCTGATACTAAGATAAGACTCCCCAAAATGCTCCCTCCAACCTCTGCTTAGAGGAGATTAAGGAAGAAATTGGCTACACACACTGATTTTGGAGAGGAAATTGGCTGGAATAAGGAGTCCTGAGTTGCTATGTTACTAAGGAGCATACAAGTTACCTATGCAGCGTTCAGAGCAGGAACGCATGCAGAAAGCTGGACTAACTCAATGCTGATTGCTTGAAAGGTAGAAAATGAGATATTAGAAGCCTAATTAATCAATTAATGCAACAGGGAGCTGCAAATGTTGCAGCAGCAGCCACTCACCCAGCAGCAAACCCGCATGCAGACTCATCACATCTGGGAAGAGCTGAGGCGATTGCTGCGGTTTCCCCATGCCCTGTGCCAGCCTATCTGGATGATGAAAACTGGGGACATGCAACCATCAGGTTATTGCTAAAATCTACCACCAGATTCCAGGTTAAGCTACAGAAGTGCAAATTCAATAAATTTCTCTGTGCTCTCCTGGAGTAAAGGCAAGAGGCAGAGTAGATGATTTATCACTCTCCAGCCAGGACAAGGACTCTGAGTTCACCTGCACCCAGTAGTTCTCATACCATCACCAGCCCCAACCTCCCCAGGTAGGCAGCCAGGTAGAGGAGTGCCCAAGCCCCTTGAGAGCTGCACATGAGGCTGTGCAACTAACCCAGACAGAAGTTCTGGGAGTGGAGGAAATCTCCTTCCAACATTCTCTTGCTCTAATAATCTCTAATGCTCAGAGTGCCCTTGATAACCCCGTATACTGCATAAGCAGCAAAGCTGACTGCCAAAATCCATCAGGAATAGGACTGACTAGATAAAAGAATAATTTAGGATATTCTTACTTGAGGTATCATAAAGAAATGAGGGCTCAGACAGAGGATCATCTTTTCGTTTACTTCTCCCAGCACTCAACTTGCACTGCCAGTCATTTATACAATTATCTATCTTAACCACCAATTTTCCTTTATCACAGCTGTAATAAGTCAAATGCTTCAGGACACACCACAGTGACCTGCAGGGCTGCCACACTGACCATATGGCATAAAGAAATGATTTGGCTCCTTTTTCTCATGAGAGGTGAATGTATGCCAGTACACCTACAGGCAGTACTACAGATAAAAAAAGGCACAAAATCAGTATCCACATTGGCCATTTCACTGGAAACACACTGAAATTCCACATCACACCTACAACTAACCCACAGCTCTCAAAACCATCCAATACTTTGAACAAAGGAATCATGGACTTTTAGAAACTGCAGCTTTTCCTCCCTGCCCTAACCTCAGATGGACACACGCGCCCTTGGGAGAAACTGGGGTAGGGAACAGGGACAACACACCCTGCACAGAGGAATCAGCATCTTGGATTTGCTGGGATTCAGTGCCAAACTGAATCTGCTTTTATTGCTTGTTTTTCCTTTAAGGACATTTCATGCATTAAATAGTTTTTGCAGGTGGCACAGTACCTTGATCCATTGCTAATGAGAATGCTTTCCCGTATCGTCAGCGTGCAGTAATACCACACTAACAGAAAGTTGAACACTTCATCTGTCACCCTGTTAAAAAAAATAATAATACAAAAAGAGCACAGTAATAAGAAAGCCTGTTAATTATAAAAACACATTTCGAAAATCCCCATTTTCCCTCTGTTCCCTTGTCTGAATGAAAACATGCCCAAGTGAGGCCATGGACACAAAGCCCCAGTCCTGGGCATCTCCAATCCACACGCAGAGCTGTATGTATCAGCAGCACTTCCCCACTCAGTCCTTTACTCTGGAAGTGCCCTATGATGTAACACTGCAGATCTTGAGCCGATAAGCAGGTACACAGAGATGACATTAATTCCATCTGAAGGAGAGAAAGCACCATGGAAGCACCAGATGATCCAATTTAGACAGGCATTTCAAGACTAATTCAATGAGGAGATTCGATGAGATCTATACAAATCCAATCAACTAAAAGAACAGAAGAGCATTACACTCTCAGAGTAAAAGAGTTTTTATTTTGCCATTTGCAGTCCCCCAAAGCCATGGGGATCTGGAGCAGCCTCTGTACAACAGCATCAGTCCTCAGTACAATCCACAGACACCTCAGTGGAAGGGTGTAGCTAAAACACCTCACTGGTTTTTTTAAGGAAAATTGAACAGGGGAGGCTTATTGATACACTGTCATGATCTAGACTTTACATCAAATAGCCACATCTAAAATGAAGATGCTCCCTTACATGGTGTTTGCATGGTGCTGATACCAATCTAGGACAACTTGCAAGCAAAAATCCTTTCTCAAGCACAGTGCAACAGCAGAAAAACAACTGATCGTGTTGGACTTGCTATTGGTTATAACAAACTCCTAAAACATTAAACAAGAAAAAGGAAGTAGCTAAAATACTGTCCTGTCTGCTTTGAAGAGCAGCAAAAGATAATCTCTTGCTGGGGAAGCACAACTATTCAAAGCTTAAATATTGCCAAAGCCTTCTCTCACAATCTCAGGCAATTAGTTCAAATTAGTTGGCTTCTAATCTAGCATGTTTTTATTCAAAACACTTGGTCAAAACTGAAAAAAATAAAATAAAAATGCAGCCTTACCTGTAGTGAAGAATAAATCTGCAGGCTACGGCCCCAAGTAACAAGATAATTGTGAGATAAAGTTTGAACTTCTCATACTCATCTTTGTAGGCGAACCTGGAATGTACAAAGAGCACGAAACGTCACGTATCAGTGAGTGCACACAGGTGTTTTACTGGAACGTGGCTTCATTTTTTCAAACCAGATACAATCCACAAGCCAAACCAAAAGACAACAAGTCAGATGTAATAGAAAACCATTCCTGTCTCTGGACTTCAGCATGCACCCACTGCTACCCCAAACATATGTGCATGGAAGCACTCACTCACTTTGCTTGGTTACTCAGGAGGGTTACATTCACGTTTCCCAGCACCAGATTTAAGTACAAACTGGAAGACAAAAAAAAAAAAACAGACCCAAATAAGTCCATTTACTATAAACACCACAGACTAACACACATCAGAGCTTACATTTTGCTGTAGGCTTTTAGTTAAAGCAAACTGGAGATGCAGACTACAGAAGAGGATTTAAATGCAGAAAGTTCAGTTAGCATTTCCAAGAAGCAAGAGGAAGAATTCGTTTTCTGGTCTCTTTTCTGTGCTATGCCAAAGGGTAAGATGTCAGAAACCAAAAAAAAATTATATGGAGAAATTAGAAGAAAAGTTTCAATGGATCCTTCCACCTGCAGTGCTGCAGCCACTTTTACCAGCTCTTTGATTTCATTTCACTTCCCCACTCCAGACCATTTCCACCTGAAAGCTCAGCTCACTGTACAGACACTGAAAATGCAGACTTGGGAAGGGGAAACAAACAAATCAAGGGTAGAAATCAAGTCACTTGGCTCAGTTTACTCAGCATCAGCATCTCCTGGCAGCCAGAGCAGCACAGCCCTTGACAAATTGAACCAAAACCATCCTAGCAAACCCACTTGAAGCAAAGTACAAAATTCAAGTCAGTTGAAAGCACTGTTTGGAGAGAAGTTAAACAGGAAGGGGGAGATTTCCATACTGATTTAGTCTTCAAAAAAAAAAAATAAGCACAGAGTGCAACTCACTGTTTCACAGTGAAATCTTCATCTCTTGCCAGTACAGTTTCACTTCTATTTTATCAAGAAAACCTGCCTGTGCCTACACAGTACATTTACATACACTTCCAGCTAATGAATTCGATGTACAACTGACATAGCAGCTCAGCAAGAGATCTATGACTAATCCAGTTTTACATGTATTTCTTCAATACACACATTATCCTTTGGGAGGAACACCACTGTGAACAGTTAAAAATCAGCCTTGCTGGAGCACATGCCTATTCTGGCAAAGCACGTACCCGTTTTTCTTTGGCAAGTAGGCTTCCATGTCAAAGAAGGCATTTTGCCTCTCTTTGATCTGGGTGCTGATCTGCTCTATAAGAGCAAATTCTTCAGGAGTAGCTCTGGGCTTGCACCTGTGAAAACACATAAACAAAATCTTCCTTTATGTTTTTGCCTCCTTTTATTTAAAGGATAGCAACTTTGCCATAAAATGCATGCTGTTAGAAAGCTAACATCTGCCACGGCGCTGTTCCCTCTTGTTTTTATTTTCTTTCATTGCCTAGTATCTGTCATTGTAGGTTATTTCAACTGGCTGGTTTACAAACCAGCTTCTTTCACTGCAGCTCAGTGACAGGCCTCCATACCTCTCCCAAAACAAAGCACCTCAATCACATTGTGCAGTTTTGTAGGAGCTCCTTCCACTTTGGGAAGTTTGTCTATGTCTCAGGTACTGCCCTTACAGCATCCAAACTGATCTGTGCTCCCTTGCCTCCAGCAAGACACCATAAACTTCTCATGAAAGACAAAAGCTCACTGTACAGCCTCTAAAAACAAACGAAAGAAACGACCTCATGCACCCTCCAGAGCCACCAGCAAAAGCATGTCAAACTCATTTAAACTGAAACGTCAGTGCAGCCCCTCCATAATCAATGGTAGCTTGGACAGAGGACAGTGAGGTGGAGAAGGGCCCTCTGGTTCATTTCTCTTGCTGCTTTCCCTCTGCTGAAATTGTGTATTTTAGGAAGGGCAAGGAGTAGCTGGGCAGCACTGCATGAGAGGAGGGCTCTGCGTGACCCCACCTGGCACCACTGCTGCTCTTCCTGCAGAGAAGGGATCTGTAAGCTACATTTGCAGCAGCCAGCTCTCCAAAACCCCCCGGCTGTCTGCCTGCAGATACCACCACCACGCACAACAGGCAAAAAAGACTACAGAGAGCAGAAGCACCACGCCGCATCCCTGAGAGCCCTGCTGGGGAGCCCAAATTTTACCCCTTGGTTTAAGAGAGATGAGATACAGTGGTGGTTTAGAAGTCTCAGCCAGGCCCAACCCTGCAAGAGGTTTTCATTGATGCTGCAACTATTCAAGCAGAAGATATTTCAAGTTGTAACAAAAAACCACAACTGATGATTTACTGGCAAACTGCAGCGTTACCAATGCACGTAAAATAGAGCAGTGGGGTCAGCAACCAGCATTGCCTGGGATCTGCACACAAGGAATTCAGCAAGCAGCTGAGCAGCCAGGAACAGTTCCTTCCTATAAACCCACGTAGGGTGGTTACACCTCCAGCATCAGTCCTTGAACCTGATCTGCCAGCACAGCTTATGGAGCAAAGCTTTGCTCACCTAGCAAAACATACAGACCAACAGCTGTACAGTCCCACACCATAGCAGGCCTACTACAAAGATGCAAATCCATTCAGGCTCCCTCAAAGACTTACTGGATCTTTTTTTTTTTTTTTATAAGACTTGATCTCTCATGTGGTTACAAAAAAATTTACCTGGCTGTAACAAAGGAGGTAACTCAAGATTATATGAAGCAAAACTGCCACCATGATGTACACTACATATTAAATGCTGAAAATCCAAACACTTCTGCTGTTTGGGAAGCAGAAACATCCCATCCCTGCCTCCTCCACCCTTCAGACCTCCTGTTACCTTTGCAGGTTGTGCTTCAGGTCCCTTAATGTCTTCTTCTGCCGGTGTATGGAGCTGCTGCAGGCTGTCTGCAAGCTGGTAACTTCCTCCAGTTTCTGCCTGTAAACTTTGTGTGTTTCCTACAGGAGAAGAAGAGAGGTTCAGTAGGAAGAGCCCTTCTGGGTGATGTGTTGTATTTGGTCCTCGTGTCTGAGGAAGGCAAGCCTGGAATTTGGGAGCCAGCAGGCAGCTGAGGAGGGGGGGCTCCTGTGCTGCTCCATTACAGGCAGAAAACCAAGGGGGCAAAGAAAACCAGCTTAAACAGACACTAACAATTCCTGAAAAGAAAGAGCATCTTCTCTGCATTCACTTCATTTCCTCTTTCTAACAAGCCTTTACCTCTGGGGAGCTCCCTGTTCCTAGGGCACCCTATAATAAAGCCCTTATTCTCCGGTTCGATCCCAAATCATTCCCATCAAACATGTGGAGAACCTGCAGGAACTCTGATCTCCCAGCCATTCAAGCTGGGAAAAAAAAGAGGAAAGAAGTTGAGGCCCCAGGTGGAAACCATAGGAATCACAACCCAAACCCAGGCAATGAGACAAACCTCCAGGCCACCATGGCCACCCCAAGCCCTACTTCTGCTCCGGCACAGCCACATTGGTGCCTCCAGCACATGAGGAACCAAGCCTCAGCTCACCCAGCAGAAGGAAGGATGCAAGAGACCCAGGAGGTACTGGATCCTGTGCTCAATCCTCTCAGAGATGGCAGCAAGGTACACAAGGGCTTGGTTAGCAAATAAATCTGATGTGGATTTCACACCAAACAAACCTGTACAAGTTGAACACCTAGCTGGGTGTCACAGTTTGCATCAGGACCCTCTGCAAGCTAGATGCCTTACTGTCATGTGCAAACCCAATATTAGCTCTGGTTTAAGGAGAAACATAAATTTTAAGAGCTATAACAACTCAGAAGGCAGTTTGCAGTCAGTGGCGTTGGGGAGGCGATGCAGGGGTTAAATGGCTTTTTGCTTTATCTCCTTTGCACATCTCAGGTAACAACCACAGAAAATTACCACTGGTTTTCCTGAAGCATAAAAGCAGCACTAAGACCAAACAAAACAGATCTGTGCTCTTCTGTTCATAATTTACAGGAGCCATGTACCTCCACCACCCAACCTGAAAGCCTTAATGACCAAACCAACCATGCCCAGAGATCTCAGTGCCCAGCACTGGTGCAGCTCGGCTGAGAACTGGCAGCACTCTGGGGCTCTCCGGGATGCACAGGAACTCATTCAGCTCCTCTGCATGTCACACGACGACGTGCCCTTGTTCTCCCAAATCACACAAATAAGGGTATTTTCCAAGGCTGGCTAAAAGGGAATAAGGAGCTGCTCACCTAGAAAGCATTCAGTATTTATTAGAAATGCAAACACGCCAATTGAGAACTGGTAAATACTACCATTGGCCAAAAACATCACGATAATGACTTAAAAGCGACATTAAATCTAGAAGAACACAGGGAAGATCCTTATTGACGAAGAACGGCGGCTGCACGAAGGGGCCCTGCAGGCAGCGCTGCCTTCCTGCGAACACAGCCAACCCGCAGCCACGTTCCAGAGGCCGGCTCCGGCCGCAGCTTCTCCACGTAGTAAGCACGCATTGAAAAACAAAGGTCCCATACAGGAGGGGGCATTTCTGCGCCGAATTGAAGAGCCTGGGGCAACAGCCGCTTTCCCACAGGAGGCGGAGATGCCGCAGGCACCGTTAGCGGCTCGCAGCAAGACCCAAAACCGCGACGCTCCCGCTTGGAGCCGCGCCTCCGACCCGCGGCGCCCTGACGGAGCTGCCGGAGCCACGAGGGCGTTCGGAACGCCGCCGGGAGAAAGGCAGCGGAAGCGGGACGGGGAACGGGGACCGCGCTCCTCCTCCGCCGCGGCAGCACCAGCCGGCGGCCGCCAGCAGCACGGCGCGGAGCGGCACGCGAGCCGGCAGCGAACACCGCCGTTCGACCGCGCTCTACGCCGGACCGCCGGGAAAGAAGCCGGCGGCCCTCGGGAGGACGCGGCACAGCCCGAGCCCGCCGCGCTCCGTCTTCGCGTCGCGCCTTCGCCCGCGGGGCTCGGGAGCCCGCGCGGTGAGCCGCCCCCGGGCCCCGCCTCACCTGCAGCTGCCGGAACTCCTCGTCCAGCTCCCGCCACTCCCCGCAGCACCGCTCCAGCTGCACCCTCATGGCGCGGCGCACTGCGGCGTGGCGCGAGCCGCTGGGCCGGCGGGACGAGAGCGGCGCGAGCCCGCAGCCCGGCCCGGCGGCCACGTGCGCCGCTGACGTCATCGCGCGGGGCTGAGGCGGCGCGACACGACGCGCCCCGCCCATCGGCGCGCCGCGCGCCCTCCTGAGGTAACGGCCGCCAACGGTCCCCGCGCGGGGCGCGCAGCGCTGTGTGGGGGTGTAGGGGTGCGAGGGGGGCCGCTCAGCGCAGCTGTGCGGGACGCTGCCCGTCTCCGCTGCAGAACGGGTCCTGCTCTGACGGTCTGCTGCAGAAAAGCGTTTTAAAAAATGCCACTCCTGGCTTCTCCACGCCTTTCCTTTCCTGCCCGGTGTTACGAACAGTCCTGCGGCTCAGCCAGAGCGTGAGGCGAATTCCTCAGAGCTTCCCTGAGGCTGCCGTGTTTTCTGGAGCCTGCTTTATCTCAGGAGAGCCTCCATCCTTTCTATTTCTCCTAACTAAAACACACGTGCTGCTGGACAGCCAGTTAGCCCCATCCTGTAGTTTTCACATCCCATCTCAAGATGCATCCTTGTCTCCCCACCACCCCTCAGCCCTGCTCCGTAGCACAGCACTGGCGCAGGTGAGACTTGGGTTCAGCTCACCATTTTACAGACACGGCTGTGCAGGTGTAACAGCCAGAGAGGCTCCTGAAAAGGGTTTGTGGCATCCCTGATTCAGGTGCCTCAAACACAGCTTGCTAAAAAATGACAGAAGTGTCCAGAAAGCAACCAGTGCTGGATGGTCAGACTGGGAGCGTTCCTTCCTTGCCTCACAGCGTTGCTGCGTCACTCTGGTTTCTGGAGCTCTGGATTTGAGGCTGTGAAATGGTCCTTTTGCTGTCAATATGTGATGAATGCATTTCCTCTGAACTTGAAGATTTTAAAGTTTTTAGGTATCTTGCAAGTTTAACTTTCCGTTTTTTAATGGCAAGCCTTTCGTCTTGGACCTTTGAAAAGCAAATCTACCAACAGAAAATCTGTTTTGCCTTTACTTTTAATGGTCCTCGAGTCATCTACCATCACTGCCAGAAAACATATCAAAGAAACTGAGTTAATAATTCAAGTTAAAGATCACAGCAGTTTTGTCTGTTCATTTGATGTTAACTTTAGTTGGAATACTTACAGTAATATAGATACAGTCAGATGTGAGCTCCTTTCTTTTGCCTTCCGGACTCCTGAACACAGACTGCATTCATTCTGTTCTCTCGTCATAACTGAGTCTGTTCCCATTGATTCTTTTCCTTTGTCTTAGAAATACCAATTCTTTCCAGCAGTGCAACACAGGAAAGGGTAAAATACGAATTCTAACATCAGGTGACAGTAAGCCATGATAAATAAAACATTCTAACTCATATTTCAACGGGGAATTGGTACTGCTGATCTCATCGTGTAATCGGGATTTATTCCTCGGTTCAGGACTTGGAACAAGTGAGGCATTATCTCAAGTACGGCCAAATTACTTTTGCCTTCATCATCATCCTGTGATCTGCATGTTTTAAAGCAGCAGCCAGGGTCCTGCAGGGCACTCTGTGGTTGCACAGCAAGTAATTCGCAGCTTGGGATGACTTCTCCGAGTAGCATTGGAATCCCTGAGCGGTGCTGTCACAGGTACTCAAGTAGAAACAATGAGCTGTAAATCTGCAGCAAAAGAAATTCTGGGGGAAAGGCTGTCTGGTAGGCAGCAGCTGCTGCAGCTCTCTGGTAAACATGGCACTTTGCATAGATATGCAAGTGCTTGGGCATCTCAGATAACCCACAGATCTGACTTCAGATTGTCTGGATGTAAAGACAACACGATCTTTATCTTGAGAGAGCTGCTCACAGCAAACAGGCGCAAAGAGATGGAAAGAAAAGCATTCCTACAAGGCTGTCTTCTCAGCAAAAATCAGCCCATGGAATTTCTGTCTGAAACCTTCTACTTCAAAATCTCTTAAATCCTGTTCACAATAACTCTTAAAAACACCCGTGGGGAAAAGCTGAGAGTGCTGCACCCACTCTGCTCATTTGGCCAAACCTGACACATGTTTGGTTACAGTCCAGGACGCTCCCACCTCTTCCCCTGGGTTTTAAATTGAATGTAGCAGCAGTCAAGCACGCATCTGAGCATCCTGCTTTCACAGTATGTTGTTGTCACATTCTTCACCTTTAAAGAATTCCAGCATATGTTTCTCTAAGTGTTTTCCTCTATTTACAAAGTTCCCAGAATAAACTTACGTTATTGACTCTGACAGTTTTCAGTTGGTTTGGGCATTTCACTTTGGTGATTCCCTCCGCTTTGTGAGAGCAATCTCAGCTCAGAGCAGCTGTCTTTTTATTGCAAAAATGATTGGTTTCAGATGTTGTAGAGCACCAAAGTCCTTTGGGTTCATTTAATAACGGCAACAAAATAAAATCTCACTTTCTAAACTGAAAAAAGACAAGAACTAAAGCCCACGGTGTGTCTTGTGTCCTCGCTGCACAGGTGGCAGAGTCCTGCCCGCGCCTCCCCGCACACCTCTATTGCTCTGCTCAGCACACTGGGGCTACTGTCCAAACTTGAAGTCAGAGAAAGGATTTGTGACATAGTATAGTAAGAAATATTTAATATAATGGAGCCCTCTTGTCACTCATTTGAGGATCAGCCCTCAGCAGGACAGGCCGATCCTCCCAGGCCATCTTTGGTTCTGTTTAACAGGTGAGACATGGAGCTGCACTCTTGAGTTCTATGCAGCTCATGCTTGTGTGTTATTCTCATTGCCACTGGCTTTGCTTACATCTGCCTCTGTGCTTTTTCTAAGCATTAAAAAGGTTAGAAACCAATTTGTGAATTTTAATTTGCTTAATTATCTTCTTTATTTTTAATTGCATCTAAACCAGTTTAATTGAATTTCAAACATACACGTAACTGTACCTTTTGTTTGGCAAAAGCTGTGGGTTGGTGACACGCAGTTTGGGCTTGCTTTTCTAAATCCCTGCACAAGCTGCACTGGTTAAAAATAAACACGTGCAATTGTCCAAGTTGGGTAATTAATTAATGTAACTGACAGATTCTCAGTTAACTGCAGTGCAATACAGAGGCTGAATTATTCAAGATTAATTAACTCAAAATAATTAATGCTTTTCCAGCAGGCCTGTTTGTGCTCATAATATAAGGCTGTAACCTCGGGGCTGCAATAAGCACTTCCTTCCTCTCCTTTGCGGGTTTCCCCCACCACCCCTGTCCTGCTCTGCAGCCCTTTGCCTCCGCTCTCTGGTGGTTCTCAGGCTCTGCACAAAACCTGAACGCATTTGTGAAAGAGTGTGAAGAAATCCTTCCTGAACACCTTTCTCTCATTTTTAATAACGGGAAATATATTTCTCGTATCAATATTTCCTGGTAGGGTCAGTCTGCCCAGCACTGTCGTACCCACAGCCCGCCGCACGCAGCACCCGCTCCCATTCCCTGCAGGCTCTCCGGGGCCGCCCACAACCGGCGCTGCTCCAAGCTCTCGCTCCGCGCACGCGCTGGCAGCGTCGCTATGACGACTCGGCGATGCCCGCAGCGGTGGCTGGAAGCGCTGCGCTCCCCGGCAGGTCGGTGCCCGCGGGGCGGCTGGGCCGGGCGGTCGGGAGGCGCGGGCCCGTCTGCGAGTGGGCTTTCCCGACCCGCTGCCGCCTCACTAGGAACGTCCTGCACTGAGCTCACAATGAGCTCATTTCCCGCTGCTGCTGCCCGGCACCGCTGGTGAGGAGCGAGATGGGAAGCACGATACACAACAACACTGCTTATTGGGGTAGAAGGGTCTATCACCGCCATTTTTTAGCGGTGATAGACATGAAATAATTTTTGAATGACCGAGTGGAGAGCTAAGGGTGAATGTTAACTCTGTTTTCTAAGATACCAGATTTATGTAAGGTACTAGATTTTACTCCCTAGCAGTGAGATATTTCCTAAAATACAATTCTGCCTTGTGCTTCAATGAGTGCTCCCTCCTGACATGGAGTAGGCAGAGGAGCAGCCTTAGGAAGGAGATTGGCTGTGTTCCCACTGTGCCAGGACAGGTCTGACCTTCCCTTGTGTCCCGAAGTCCTCTTGAAGGTACACAGCCCCATCCTGCTGCACTTACTTAGCACTTCCCAACATGCTACCAGCCTATTTTCAGATAGAGCTGTTTTGTACATTGATATTTTTAGATACCTTCTGTTTGTCGCATCTTGATATATATCAAACCCTCAATTACTGTCTCAGATGCATATTAAAGTACAGCTTACAAATAGACCGTTCTACCAGTACCTGCCTTTGTAATTTCTCTCTAATTCATTTCTGACAATCATTTGTTTTCCCTTCCAGCTGAGAACACGATGCCTGTTGTAAAATATCCCAGGGCTGCAGAGCCTCTCTGGCATGAATGGGACAGGAAAGCACAGAAACATGGATTAAGACATACAGTCTATGCTGTAAATGGGGATCAGTATACTGGAGAATGGTTGGACAATTTGAAACATGGTAAGATCCATCATTTGGAGAAAAGCACCAATGTAGGCGTCTTTACAAAAGTTCAGGGTGTCAGGGAGCAGTCAGTCAGTGGCTGTATGTGTTCATCCACATACAACAGCATGTGTTCGATGTAATGCCATGTAAAAATGTGCTCAGACATATTTCTAATGGGTAATGAAGTGTGCACTCAGCTGCAGGGCTATTACTGAGACATCTAGACTACAGATGTTAGAAATGCTCTAAAACCCAGCATGCCGCAGTCAGCTCCATGCACCCACAGCTGCACTGACACAGCACTCTGAGCTCCCAGCACATGGGTTGCAGGGAGAGCACAGACAGCCCAAAAAGCAGGGATGCTGCTGCACTGCCAGCACTGAAACACACTTGCTTATGATACAGTCATTTAGCATCACACATTGTCCTACTCATCGTGATCATCTCCCTGCAATCCCTGTTTATTGAAACAGGTAAAGGCACACAGATCTGGAAGCACAACGGTGCTATTTACAGCGGTGACTGGAAGTTTGGGAAGCGGGATGGCTATGGCTCGTACAGCATCCCTGACCCCGTGACCAAGGAGTACCTGAAGGTGTATACAGGCTGGTGGAGAAACGACAAAAAATGCGTAAGTGAGATTTCCTGCACCTGCTTTGAAGCATGCGAAACAATCATTTAAAATACCAATTTTTTTCAAATGCCACCAGTCCCCCAGATTGAAGGTCCAGAAGGGTTTGGGGGAAATGAGTATGTGAAGCAAGGAATTGAAAGCAAGAGCTCTCATGCTGAAGCCCTCTCCCAGTGGGAAAGCCATCTCCCTGCCTCCCCAGCCTTCAGGTCGGCGTTTGCTTTAAAATTTGGCTTGTCCCTCCTGAAAGCTCAGGAAGTTCCACGGGTGATATCCATCACACTGCAGAGCCCACAGACTGCAGGAAGCACACATCTCCCCACTCCCCAGCCCCTGCAGCACAGGAGGGTCAGGTCATGTGTCCATGCATGAGTGCATGCTGACCCCAACAATGACGTGCTTCCAGCATGCTTGCAGTGCAGGAGGAACTTGCCCACAGAGCATGCACTGCAAGCGCTGTGAGAGAAACCAGCTTAGAAGCACCGTGCTGCAAGTTTTACAGCACATTAAGCAAAAAAACCAAGTTATTTTGGGAATTGAGCCCATCACATAAATCACCAGTTTTTCTACAGGAAGCACAATGAGGAAGTCATCCGGTAAAAACAACTGCAATCCTATGAGCAAAATCCTTTTAGGATTTTCTGATCTGCCAATGGAAGCCTTATGGTTGCCTTTGTGTCCAATCCTAAGTTAAATGAATAGCCTCTCATGCTCCTAATTGGTGTGCAGCTCTATGGCTCGAGCCTCTTTGCAGGAGCTTCTTCCCTCATTCCCTGGGAATGTACTTTGGATAATTGAGTTTTGGCAAAACATTTACAATGACATCCAAACAACAGTATTTCTATTTTTTTTTTTCTACAAAATCCTCCCCTTTGCATCCAGGAAGCTTAATAGAATTACTGCTCTGAAGAATCAGCTATTGACACAACTCTTTTTTTTTTTCTTTTTTCCCCAAAAGGTAAATTACTGCTTTTGTCCTATGGGAAAAGTCATTAATAACATGTAAATATTTCCCAGTGGTATTATGCCCCACCATGGGGAAGTCTCTAACCTGGCCAGCACAGACACAAGATAAACACCTCCCTGAGGTTTCCAGCTCACACACACCTAATAGACTTAATTCAGAAGTTCATTGATCAAATGTACCACCTGCAATGAGCTGAGAGACGGTCTGAGAAGAGAGAGCTATTTGTCTTTATGGATGGAGCAGGAGCAAAACCCATTACTGCTGGCTCTGGAGATTGTTAGTCTGCCCCAGGCCGGGAAGGGGCTGCCAGCCTGGGATGCTGCAGACTGCAGGAGACATCAGCTCTGTCATGGGACATCACATCCCCCTGGGAGAGGCATATCACTTAGGTCATGCATCCCCAGGTTTGTATACCAGTCGAACCTGCCTTTAGCCAAATATTAGCAGCAGTCATGCCAAAAACAATACACTGAGATACAGACCTGACATTTTGTTATGGGAATTTGATAATTGGTGAATAAAATCCCATAGCATCACCTCTCATTTTCTGCAACACATAAACAGAGGTTCAATTAGGCTGCCATCAGCTGCATGTAATAGTAGTAAGCAAAGGAGCATCATACCAAGAAATTAATGCCCCAGAATTGAACACCAACACCTTTTGATAGAGAAGCTCCTCAGTGACCTCCTCTGCTGCTGCGCAGGGCTACGGGACGATGTTCTACCCCAGCGGGGAGCGCTATGAGGGCGAGTGGAGCAGCGGGCAGAGGAGTGGTTGGGGTCGGATGTGCTACGGAGACGGCTCCACCTATGAGGGGCAGTGGCTGGCAGGCCGGCCGGACGGGCAGGGGATGCTGTGCCTGCGTAAGTACCAGCGAGCCTGCGTGGCCCTGTGTAAACCCACAGCAGCGGTGACGGTTCTTTCCTCCCAGATGATCGGTTGTGCTGCCTTGATCTCCAGCGCAGCCTTGTGGGGCAGAGGCTGCCGTCCCGTCTGGTGCCTCTCTAGAGCAAGCATCACGGGCAAGGGCGGGCCTGTGATGCATAAGGCCACACACATGGAAGCTTGCTTTTGCTGTGATTTACATTTAAATGACGGAGATGGTTAGGGTTAGAGATGATATATTGTTGGGTCAGAGAAGAACAAATCGCTATTTTTAAGGCAGGCACATCGCCAGGCATGCTTTCTAGCTACTGCATACCAGAGAGTCCATTTTCCAGTACATGACAAACAACAGTTCTTTTTCTGGGCTCCTTCCATCCACTCTTGTACTTCCGACAGTGGCTCACAGTGAGAGAACGCAGGGGGTTCATTATTACCCAATGCCTTCCCAGATATGACACTTGAGTGTATCACAGATTGGAAACGTTGGGGCAATCCCACCATAAAATAGAAATTTGGATCTTTTTTCCTCTTACTTTGCTAGCGATTCAATTTTTTTTTTTTCCAAAAGCCAAGACTGCCAGTCCTTTGCAGTACAGAACACCACATTCCAGGAACATTTGAAGAAATATCACCTCCGCAGGTTATTATGAGTATTATTATTAATCTCTTCCTTTTTTTCTTGGGGGCAATCTCAAGGCAAATCACTCGCTAAGCAAAGCAGCCAGGAGGAACAAGCATGACCCTCCCCTCTGCACACTGTGTACACATCTACGCTTTCTCTGCTGGCTGTAAACCCATTTTGGATCAATGGCTCATACAATGACACCAACGCATGCTTTCAGGGGCAGCTCATTCAGCTGCCCCACTTTGTTCCCATCCAAACCAATCTCCCTGTTAGAAACCAGGCACCCTCTGGGTTTAGCAGCTGCTGCTGGGCTGCTCAAGAGCCCGCCTGTCCCAGGCAGAGCCCGGGACCCCACTGAGCCGGATTCCTTCTGGTTAAAATTAGCCAGAGCGATTATTTCATACCCGTAAGCTGAATGCATTCAGCTCGACCGCTGGAAGTGTGCCCACGTGCTGGCAGCATTGCAATGGTGAAAGAAAGAGTTCTCCAGCGGAGGTCACAACGAGCCGCAGCTCAGATTAAATCACTCGCCCTGGCCACGTGCCTGGCAGGGGGAGCAGTCAGGAGCAAAGTGCTGCTTCACCGCAGCTCAGACCAGAGCAGTGCAGCAGTAGGCAATCCTCTGCTCTGGGATCCTCTGGTGGGGCAGCAGATGTGAGCAATGCATAGGAATGCCAGCATGCTGCAGCACACCCTGCGCAGGCAGCCCCTCTGACATGGCCTCAGCTTTGTACCCAGCCTCTGGATGAACGCATGCAAATTTCATGGTCTGTTCGTATGTTTGATCACAGCAAACAATAATAGGTATGAAGGAGGTTGGAAAGATGGAAAGAAGCATGGCCCAGGCAGATTCTTCTACTTGGATAAGGGACAACTGCTTGAAGGCATCTGGGTGACAGATGTACCAAAATGTGGGATTATGATCGACTTCAGCAGAGATGCAGCTCCTGCCCCTACCCAGTATCCAATCCCAAAGGTAACTGCTTGGAAATGCTGATTTGCTAATGATGTTTATGCCAACAGCACTTGTTAGAGCTCACGGTACCTATTTGGGTCATGCTTTCTCTTCAGGTAGTCACTCTCAGGGTCTATGCTCAAGCTCTTTTGGTTAGCAGTGACCTGAACATCCCCGCAGGGCCAAGCAGCTGGCTCCCTGCTGGAGCCTTGGACTTGCCTGCACTTCTGAAAATGCAGTTCTGCACCAAAACTGCTTAGCACTCCGACCCAGCACAAAGGAGATGCAGATAACAGCCACAGAAACAATAGTGGGATGTGTGTCAAAACTAAATTTCCCCCAGCCCAACGTCTAGGGCTGACCAGACCTCACCAAACCAGCTGAACCCTGCACCAGCTCTGTTCCCCAGCCCCTGGCAGCGCCCACACCAACATCCCTGCTGCCCCATTCCCTTGAGAGCAGCCAAACAATGCAGAGCTTTGCTGAGGACTGAGCTGCAACACCTTCAATGACCACAACTTGGCACACAGCCGCTTTTTTCCAGTAGTGCAGGGAAGAGAGGCCTCACAGCCAGTGACATTTCTTACCTTCTAACTCTGCTCCAGGAATAGGATTGCAGTAATTAGTGCTGGGCAAGGCACAGTCTACTGAGGCCCACAGCTCTTACAACTTCATTTCCTAACTTTATCCACATCTGCTTTCTATCGTAAGGTTCTCCAGCATTTTTGACAGCCAGTTCCTTCAAGTTTAAGGCACACTCACAGCAGCACAGAACGATAAAAACCAAACACTCACCAGAGAAAAGCAGCCCCAATTTTGCAAAAAGAGCAGTGCTTCTGTAGCTAAAAATCTTTACCTCATATGGTTTGTCAGAGGTCACTCAAGAGAGCTGCCTCTTTGGAATCTCAGCCCAGGGCACAGGATGAATTTCATAACTGCTAAAGCAGGGTGCTTGAGCCCAGCTGCTCAATTAGCTCCCATAAAGACCAAATTATAACCCAGTTTTCCTTGTTTTATGAACTAAAAGAAAGCATCAGCTCTCACTACCATTATTGTGCTTTCAGCTGGAAGAGATTTATTGATCTCAGAACAGGAATGAAGAAACATAAAAGGAGAACAATTGACTATGGGTTTTCATAAACCATTTGTCAAATTACTGTCAGTAGCACCAGTTAGGGAAAATTCAGCCTTCTTTCCTTTCAAGGCATGCAAGGAAAAGGAGCAATAGGAGGATGTGTTTGAGAGGGCCCTGACTGTAGCGAGGAGAAGGACAACTGAGCAGCCTTGGAGCACTGCTGTCCTGGTTATTGAAGCCAGGGCTTTGTAAGGCTTAGTGAAACAAGGACCCTGTCTTGTACTGGGGAGAACACACATGTAAAGCCCCCAGCACGCATGGGGATATAAAGGAAGTCAGAGCAAGATGACAAGCTCCTGGCACGGCTTTAGTGCTTCCTTTTGCATTATCTGCATGCACCCCATTTGATGGCATGGACTCCTGCTTTCACGTGACTTACTGATGCTCAGTTGTATGACTGCTCATTACTCACTGTGAAACTACAGGCGAGATCCAACAGGCTGCAAACCAGAGCCAGATTTGCCCAAGAATGTGCTTTTATTAAAGAAGAATCAGTGCAGCACTCCATGCTGGGCTACTGCAAGGAGACAAATGGACATTCAACATTGTAATGAAATCTGGGAAGTGCAGTGATGTTTCTGAATTAGTAACTGAAAGGTTGTGGTATAAACTGCAGTCCTGCTGCATGGGAGATGCTCTGTTAACGTTAATCAGTAGCCATAAACTTTAAGCTGCTTTAATTACACTGCATAATTGATTTCTGTTCTTTTTATTTAGATTGAACTAGCTGATCCTGATGGTGTTTTAGCAGAGGCCCAAGTGATGTTTGATGACAGCCAAAACAAATAATGGGATGCTGAAGGAAAAAAGATGCAGGATAAGAACACGATCTCAGGTTACTTACTCATTTGAGTCTCATGTCCATGCTGCTGTACGTCATCTTGTGGTCAGCCTCACCTGTCCCCCAGAACTGCCCCTGTATGCTTCACTGTGCAGGCAGCTGTGCTTCAGGCCTCTTCCCACCCATTTAAACACAACAAGCAGCAAGCAAATACAAGCCATTCACACCAGCAAAATATAATGGGGGATGCAGCGACTCTTCGCCCAGCTCCTGGCTTATTCCTCCTGTTGGTCACAAGGTCTGTGGCTGACTGCTGAGAAACACACTAGGGGAGCATGTAATTAGTTCACCTGATTTAAACTATGCTTCAGAGTATCACATCTTGTTTGCAGCTGTGTGGTCCCTTTCACTTTTTCTCAGCTGGAAGATAACCTACTTTTCTATTTAAACACTTGGAAAAGAACAACAGAGCACTTAGTGTCAAGATTTAAACAGTGCTGATGGGAGGAAAAGCATTCCGCCAACATTAGCTCTTTATAGCTGTGTGAACAGGAAACGTCATCTTTGTATGGCTGCAGCGAGGAGCTGCATACATTTCAGAGACCCTCAGAAATACAGTGAGGATTAGCACAACACAGGCAGGCAGAGGCAATGGATGTAGAGAAAATAAGTATTTTTAGGCATCTAGGTAACAATCAGCAACAATTGAATACATTTTATTTCATTATCTGAAGTTATTTTATATCTAAATAATTGATATACAATAACTGACATTTAAAATGCTTGAGGTAAACGTGAAATACCATTAGTATAAATAAAGAATAAAAAACAAACTTAAGTGCACTCTTAACATCTGGAGCCATACGATCAGGCCTGGTTACTGCCTCTGGCACACAGTTATGAGACGTGGCCAAGGCACAACTTTTGTGACCATTTCCACAGCTGGAACATGAGAAAAACACACTTGATATCAGAGATTAAAGTGCAGAAAATAGTCAGTAAAATGGCTGTGGCTAACAGTTCCAATAGGTTAGGACCTACTGGCTTGAGAAAGTTAAAAAATAAGCTCATAATTTTATATTTCCTAAACAAAACACTTCACTTTGTAAAAGATCCACAAGATAAAAAGAAATCCAGAAACTTACCAAGAACAGCAAATAACTTTACAAAATAAGCTTGGGTAATATATTTTCTGGACTTACATTCAAAATAATGTTAGGACTTTTAAATACATCATTTACAGACAGATGCATAATTTTTCAGCCCTATAGCACCCTTTTGACCATTTGTTCCAGAATGCGTATCAAGTCAAACCTGCTTCCTTTACTGCTGCTTTTAAGAATCTCCCCTCCCAGGATGGGACTGGTAATCCACTGAAAGACAGGAAAATGAACTTTGTGCCTGCCTCAGGGTTACTGTAGTTTGGAATGCTGTTTTCCTACTTGCCTTTACTATCAGAATCTTTACAGTGTTCCATGAACAAACGTGTGAGGAATCGTACTCAGTTCTCACCATCGATAGATTTACACCAGTATGAGAATACCTATACCTGAAACACAACGGAATGGCAGAGCTGGAGAAAATCCTGCCAGGCCTCTGTACAGCAGGAGACCCTGGGAAACTGACATGAGGAAAATTGTTTTCTGCCAGTGAACAGAAGATACCCCAAGAAACCTGCTGAAAAAACACCAGGTCCTTTTCTGATGGCTGTTTTTCTGAACAGATGCACCACTGTCAACAGCTTCCACATCCCACAGACTGAAAATACATGGGGATAACCTGAGATGGAGGCTGGGTATAAAAGACCACATTCAGCCCAGGCTCACTCAGGTACACTTCCCTGTACTGTCACATTCACCAGTCTGATTTAAAAACAAACAAAACAACAACACCACCACCACCACAGTTTATATTCCACGGTGTTAGCTACAGCAGGAGGTAAAGATGTGTCCCATTAGATTTGAAACTTGTCTCAGTTTGTCTTCAAAAGTGGCTTTTAGCCATTACAAACCAAAGCTTTTTTACACAAGAATTGCATTCCAAAGAAAATCCACTTACAGACACAGCTGGAATTACTGCAGCAGCCCAGGACTACTGCTGCATCCTTCTTGGCCAAACCTCTCACATGAGAGGCCCAGGGGAAGTTTTTGCTTAAGGAAGAAATTAAAAAAAAAAAAAAAAAAAGACACCACAGCCTCACTAGCATAGATTCATATCTGAAAGTAAGCAGCAATATTAGTTACAAATAATCTACTTTCATAAATACAGCTACAGAGATTAAAAGTAGCTTCCAGAGGATCTGGAAGGCAAAAAATGCCTTAAGAAGTTATTATGGGCAGCACTTCAGCAAGCAGAAGACTTTTTCTAAACAAGGCAGACCAAGGCTTAGCAATAGCTAATTACTTGGGAATCCAGTGCAGACAAAGCACCTTTTGCTGCTTCTATCTGAGGATTTATTAAAAATATATTTTTTATATAAAAGTATAAAATAATTGCTACTTTGACTTGGAAAAAACAGCAGTGGTTCTGATCTTCAAGCAAGAAAATATCCAGTGATAATTTCCATTTAGTTCCTTCTTTTTAAAAAAAGATTCCTAAATGGAAAACAGGCAGTTCTATCTCTCCAGATAATACATGCCAGCTTCAGAGAACTTGAAAACAATTATTGCTTTTATTTTCTTCCAAAGAAGAGCATAGTAGTCTCATTCCTTCTCGTGTGGCCATACCACATGGCAGTAGAATGAGTCATGGGTGTTCAGTGAGTTACACAGCATGTAACTGCCATGGAAAGGGTGCTGGAGAAGTCACTAATGTAAGAATTACTTGGCAGCAAAACACACTGGGGAAAGTGGTGGGAGAGCCTTCCCTTCTACCATCTGTCAAACTGAGAGAACAGTACTAGCACTGAAACCAAGTGCTAATTGCTGCATATCCCAAGTAATTTGTATCATGTCATGCAACATGGACTGGACAAACAGTATCTTCTAGTAAATGCCAACATTAAATAAAGAGGAAAAAGCTTCTCTGTCCATTCCAATCACCCAAATGTACAGCATTACTCTCCTTGCACTTGTGTAGCCACCACTGAGTGGTAAGAAGAAACAAATGAGAAAAGGGATGTGTGTGGCACACACACACCCAGTCATCCATTCCTTCTGGTCTCAACTAGCCATGTTATGGTGAGAACTGTTGTTTTTTTGTTTTTTTGTTTTTTTCTTCCCCAAACATTTATAAACTTCTATTGAAAAGAAAATCAATAGTTTGAACATTCATGCATGGGGGAGTCAACATAAGGCAGGAGCAGAATGGTGGATTTATTTTCTTTAAGTACAGGTTTATGCAAAATGGGTAACAGCTGGGGAGATGGCATCACCTCTGTGATCCAGCTGGTCCTGGAGCCGTGCAAATTCAGCAAGTTCATTCAGTTCTTGAAACTGCCTGTCTGTTTTATGGCTCACCAGAGACCTGTAGAAATGGACTGCAAAGACAATGAAAATCAGTCCAAAGGGAACCATGATAGATGTCGATGCAATGGCTGCTGCCTGTCCTGATGTGATGCTAGAATTGCTGCTCTGAGCTGGGTCAAGGGGGTTCTTCTTCAGGGGAAGAAACTTCACCCAACACAGCAACACCACCTCTGCAAGAAAGAGCAAAGTCCCAATGACAGTAGAAAATGCCCAGGCAAGCTCAATGTGTCGATGCATACGCTCATGAGGAGATTCCTTTACAGAGTTGAGATTATGCACGTTGCTAACAGCCTCTATATTTGGAAGAATGCAGGTACTTATCATGAGTGCAAAAAGGTGAACTGCAACAAGGACTGTAGTACAGGCACTGAAGGCTATCAAGAGACCTCGTGGGTAGTCATGGTCTGCATCAAGCTGAACTTCTACCATGGCCACCTGAAAGGGAAGGGAAAAAAAGGAGATATAATTACCTCTGTTACATACTACTTGACTACCAATTCTGATTTTAATTGCAGGATAATTAGGCACGTCATTCTAATTCTGTTTATGCTGAGACAATAAAAATACTTATTTGATGCTCCAATGATTCTGGAACTTCACCTGATCCAATCAAAGTAATAGGCTGCACCATACTTCAGTCTTAGGTGGCAGCCATCACACAAAGCCACCCCTTCACATTTACTGCTCAGCTTAAAGCCAACCATCAGCATGCACAAAAGCCTCGAACAGCACAGCCATGAGCTACCTCCAGCTTATCCCACAGAACAGCTGGATTTTAAGAGTCCAACTATGCTGATCACAAGGTGAAAGAGTTCTTCTTTCCCATACCACTGGGGTGGCAGCTTTTGATCTCTTACTATAGAATCTAAATATTGCTGAGTGTTATGAAATGTTTTGTGTTGCATACATGTTTAGAATGAATGCTGCACGAAGTCATTTGAAGTAGGTATCAGTAACACGACTGCCTGTGAAGGCTGCAGACTGCCTTCTAACCCTGCTATTCCTTTCATCTTCCGTGCATGTGTTCTGAAGAGCCAGAGACATTCATTATGAAGATCACCTTTCCACAGGGCTCTGAGTTACATTCTTTCACTCAAAATAAGAGCTAAAGCAAACTTCAAAAAAAAAAAGTTCAAAACATGAAAGGCTCTACCATGTGCATGGTGCCAAATAAATGTTAGATAGAAGTGGTGTGGGGAAGGCTGAAAGAAAGAAAAATAATGTTCTCCTAGACAAGAAAAGTGAACAAAACCAACCAGGGGAAGATTCAAGAAGGAATTATTCAATTCAGCATGCTAAGATCTCAGATCCAGAAAACACAACAGTTATTCCTGTTTGAAATAACAACAACATGGTGTTTACAGCAGAAATCCTCCTGTTCAAGGGACGAAGCAGTATAAGAAGCCCCAGCCAGCACCAACCTCAAGAAGCTGCAGTATAGCCATGTTGCTGGGAGAGCATCTCTTCTGTGTCTCATCAGCACAGGTTTAGCCCATTGCTGTACCACACACATGGCTTAAATGGTGCTCAGACTACAGCACACATCTCAGACCTTAATTTTCATCAAAAACTCACATGGAAAAATGTTCATAGACAGGTGCACAAACAGTGAGTATTAAAATCGCACTACTTTGCCGGAGCAAGTAAAACTACACCAAGTGTGGGATCCCACCTCCACACACACAGAGCCAGCACGTCCTATGGCACCCCAACTCTTAACTGCCTGCACCAAACACTAAGCCAACCAAGGCTCTTAGACACGTTTCAACAGGCATTCAAGGCCATTTGCCAATATTTTAATTCCTTTATTGAAAGCTCTTGTCATCATAAGCCCAACCAACCAGCCAAGCTAGTGAGCAGCATCCAAGTGCTAAAGAAACTCCACAAGAAATTACAGTAATACATACACAATTCTTGCGTGAAGGTTTTAAAATAACCACTTCTCAGCTGTGAAAAACTTCACAGTTGAGAGGATAAACATATGGCCGTCAGGTCTCCCTTCAGCACGGATTGCTCTGTAAGTCCCCATGCACTCGTGGGATGCTGGGCTTCCTGTGCTGCATTTTTCACAGAACAACTGCAAGCCTTCACCACTGAGGAGTCATTTTCATACTTATCAACATTTTTTTCCATGTACATTTTCTGGTGCGTAGCTTGAATGCAAAAGCTGGGCTGCCGGGTCTATTGCAGACTCAATAATTCTCCACTCTTGCAGGACATTTTAATCCTCATCCCAGTACTTATTAGGATAACAACCAAATGAGACACTAAGGAATACCATAAGATAAATATTTTTTTCTCATAAAAACTGATTATTTCTTAAGTATTTCATTCACCAAATGTTGATAACATTAACGATGATATCAAGCATCTGATTTTGAAGTTCAGACAGGCTCATAGTTGCAACATATTGGCTGTTTTGGAGCTCTTCCCATTTCAACAGCGTCAGAATGAAATCTCTTTCCCTTAACCTAGGCTGAGCTAAAGGAAATCTCAAACAATTACATGTAATCTAGAGGCACCTAATTACGATTTGGCTTTACTTAAATACAACCAAAAGAGCATCTTATGTGAAAACAGCATAATTTAAGCAGCATTCACACATTCAGATAACTCTGTGCAGAGAGAATCATAGGGACTTCTGATTTCCAAAAAGCAGAGATCTGGGCCAGGCATCTCCTGAGGAAAAAGGCTGCATTTTATCACTGCTGGACACCCACTGAGTCCCTACCACCACGACAGGACAGGTGAAACCTGAGCTTGAGGGACACAAACAAGGCTTCAGCATCTGTGGCTGACAGATGCGTTAAGGCAGAGCAGCTCTGCACAGGACGCCCGCTGCGTTGGCAGGCCCCATATCGCTTCTGTGAGTGCTTTCTGAAACACACTGAGACCAACTTGAAAGCAGGAAGGGCGTAACTTCCTTCAGCTCAAACCATACCGTGCAACCAGCTACTATGACTGCAACACCATCTCTGTAAGAATAATTACAGGCGGCACCAACAGCATCTGAAAGCAGCGCAGTAAGCTGGCAGTCAGGCAGGCACCACTGCACACTGCCCAGTATTCACAGTTTGAGAATAGGCAAACAAAGCAGAAGCCATCTGCCCACTTGAAAAACTGCAGCAGCTGGAAAAATATTTCTCCTGACACTGAGGAGATGACAGCTCCATAGATTCAGCCCTCTGAGGGACCAGTATGGAAGCTCCACACTTCGAACATTCAGGGTATATCGAGACATGTTCAGCGCTGCTCACCAACACTGACAGCTCTTTGCAGACTACAGGCTCTCCAGAAAGGGGGTTGGATGTTTTTCTTAAACTTTCCTTGGTGAGAAAATGCGATGTGCCTAAGAAACAAAGACATAAGAGTTTTTCATGTGTTCATAGACAGGAAAGGAAAAAAATTATGCCGAAGCAATTAGTTGTACAGAGACACCCTTAAGCAAAAGGGAAACACACTCTATTGCAGTTGTGACATAGTGTTAGAAACACCCTGAAAGGAGCAGGGAAAGCAAGAAAGCACTTCTGTTTTGCATTCATTCAGCATCAATGGATACTTCAGAAATCCCTTCAGATTGAGGCCGTAGGATGCAGAATGCCCAAAGGATTTCAAAGCCTACTAAAGTTGATAGAAAGCCTCCACAGGGGGCACAGCAAAGCCGCCTTGTGCTTGCGCCTGGCAGAGCAACTCCTGCTTGACCTGTAAGTGAGAAATCAGTTCATGTTTTCTGTCTCCTCAAACCACCAAGGAAGTTGCTTTGGGAACCTCTCTCTGGAAATCAGCAGAAAAACTGCCAACACTTCTCAGTTGCAAGCTTCCATTCTAAAGAAAGTAAACAGCACAGGCCAGGCACCTAAAACAAAAAGCTCCATTTTTCATTGAGGTTCTGCATCTGCTTTCAAACAGTGATGCAAAGCACAAGAAGTTCCTGCCTCCTTTGCTCCTGCTGCAACTTCAAAATAAACAGATGAGAACTGCTCTTGTAAGGTCATGCTTGCAATTCCAGGGCCATGGTGAGCATGTTTGCTAAGATCCAATCCCACACAGAGCAAAATCTGACATGTAGATGCTGATGTTCCACACAGGACTTTTTCCTCTGTGATCTCTGGTAGTTTTCTATGCTGACTCAAAACATGCAACCCTAAGGGCACCGATGTCTCCATGGTATCCAATACAACCTGCTTCAGCATCTTTGCCTTCACCACTTTTAAAGTTCCTTTGAACACTTGCCACCTGATTTGTACTGCACAGCTGACGGGGCCACTGCAAGCATCTTGCCTTGCCGCATAACCAGAGCGTAACGTAGGCTGGGAGACACCTCAAGAGGTCATCTGCTCTAATCCCTGGCTCAGAGAAGAGCTAACTTTAACTTCAGGTCATCCTACAGATATGATCGACAGATTTACTGCAGCCCTTGACAAAGCTGTAAGTTTGAAACAGAGCTTTGTAACAAAACTCAAGGACTCTCATGATTTCAGGATGCAAGACTGGAGTCTGCATAAAGCCACAGAAGGGCAGGGCTCACGCTTTCAAGAGATGACTGAGTTTGGGCACGTGTCATGTTAAAGCCTTCAACAATTCTGGATTTCACAGTTATGGGAGCCTGAATAATACCATACTGAAAGAAATCAAACAGCTTACCCTCTAGAAGAAGCTGCTGAAATTTCAGCTCTATTTACAATTCAGTGTCCTGAAAGAACTTAATTTCCCTTGCTTGCATACAATATTTTCATGTCTCATTACATTTTGAAAATAAAAGGAAAATGCTGAGCACTCCTGAAGTTTCTGTCCATAGAAGAGCACTGACACAGTGACTGACAAACACCAGTAACAAGAAATGAGCTATGCTACACTGGTAAAGCAATTTTCATAGCAACAACAGCATTTTCTACAGAGAACTGGTTGCTGCAAATGAAACTCGTATGGCCACATAAACGCAGGTTAAGTTACTGCCCTCGCTTGTCAGTTACTCATTTTAGCACAGGGGAGACAGAAATTAAAGACTTGCTTCAAATTTCATCGCTATTTCCCAGTTTTATAAGCTATAAGACAAGTTTCAGTTCCTGTTTAACAATCAGGTTCCCTCAAATTAGAAGTATTCTAGGAAAGTAAGACATGAGAGACAATGATCAGAAGGAAAACAAAAGAGAGAAGTTAGCTGAGAGCCACCCATGCAGCAGGTCACATTGACACTGGAGACTCCACACTGGAAAGAAGATAACTGCTTTGTTGTTATGGGCAATAGCAACAGCAGCAAACAGTTACTGAGAGCTCTCCCGCTTAATCACAGGCTAAATCATAGGCTACATCCTTGCAAGGCTGCCCTCAGCTCCTCGTCCCTGTCCTTGGCTGCCATTCCTAGGTAAGAAACTGATGAAGAGAAAAAGACAATTTTTATACAGAGCAGTATGTGAAGAATGTTTCATAAGAAAGCTTTGTGGTTGAATATTGTATGGGGCCATCCACACAAGGAGAGGTAAATCTGACCTGGAGAAATGCAGAGCTACAACACCTTCACCTTGCCAGAGCAGAGGCTCCAATCACAAGGTTATTCCAGTAACAGATCACACAGTTTATCTACCTGTGGGGCCACAGGGGAAGCTGGGAACGAGATGGGCATGATGGAATCGCAGACAGTCGTGCTCCTGCAGCTACCCTCAGCTCCTGAGCTGCCTCCTTTTGCCTGACAGTGCTGCACACTCCCAGAGACAGAGGCACAAAGGCAGGCTCTGCAGTTCTTGCTCCATTCATTACAAGTTATAAACAACTCATACAAAGACACTGTATGAGCCAGAAACAGTCACAGGAAATTAAAAAAGGCAAGCCAAAATGATATTACTGCTTTTTCTTTTTTTTTTTTTTTTGAAACACAAAAGTAAGCATCACTTATGAACTAGACTAGAATTGCGACTCTGCGGCTTGTTATTTGTTTAGAAAGGAAAATGTTAATATTTGCTAAAGTCACCACTGGAACAGAAATGCATGATTTAGCTTGGTTAATAAACATGAAAATCCAATACCCACACAATCAGAGTGAATGCACCTTGAGAAGGCAGTATCTCAAGACAGCACTACTTACAATAAATCTAGTTTTTAAGGTCACATTAGACAGCACAACAGGAAGAAACAACAGCTTCATATCACTTTTACTCTCCAAAAGACGGCAGCCACAGGCAGCTGCTGCTAGAGAGCAGAGAGCCCAAAGTGCTCCTTGCTGCCTGCCTTGCTCATCTATAACCTCCAGACAGAGATGCTTGAAGGAGCAACAAAATGCTGCTTTCAAAGCAGTAAGCAAAGAGGAGAAACCTTTTGTACAGAGAAGATCCTTCTGGCCGCAGTCAAAACCTCCAACTGCAATAGTGATATAAAAGATACGTGGTGACAGGAGCTGCAAAACTAGGCTGTAAGGTTTTACCTGAGACTACAAAATGCAGCTGTTGCACATTGTTTTCCAGAAATGTGGTAAATTACAGCTAACACGACTTCTAACAAGGGATCATTGAAGCACGCAGGATGGCAGAGTACCTCCTGTACCTGCCCAGCAGCAGCAGGGCTGGATCCTACTTTTCAACATTTCCACAGTAATAGTTGATACTGAAGTAACGTATCAGTGCAGCCCAACTCCTAGAAAAGATGACAGAAGCTGACTTCTGTATCAGCTCTTTCAAAGGCAACGGCAGACAGTTCTTTGACAATATCCAGTATTTCAAGCCTGTATGGTAATACTTGCAACAGTCTGCCCAGTTTGAATCATTAGAGGCATTTACAAGTGCACTTTCTGCTAAGTGACATCCTCCAAATTCTAAATATAACTAAGTCAACCACTGAGGCTGTGTAATTTAGATACCTAATTTAGGCTTGAGTTTTTTCATAGAGCTGTTAATTGGCAGCAGGTGGGGGGGGGAATCTGACTTCTCCACTCTGATAGCTGTTGGGATTTAATAGCTTCCTTATGATTTTTGGATACTCTCTGCAAAGTACTTCTAGTGGAGATGGTCAGCAGAGGTTACACGTGGGACTGGACAACAGCACTCATGGAAACCTGCGAAGGAAACACTGAGGAGCATCACTAACATCACTCTCCAGCCACCAGAGCCTGCATTACTTCCTCAAAGCCAACACAAAGCGTAACATCCTGGTGTGTAGGCTCAGAACCAACACTAATTGTAAAGCAGGCTTTTATTTAAAAATCCTCTGTGGAAACGTTAACACTTGTGAGCTTGAAACCTGGCTGAGTATTTCATGCTCTACACATTGTTGCTCTCTGCAATTACAACTTTGGCATGGATCATTTAACTGGGGCATGCTTCACTAATCTCGAGGGAAAAACCTCTGCAAAATGGCTGCAGTTAGATGCCGGATTAATCCAACAGTGAAGAACCAGTTTAGTGGGAATACACTTAGCAGGTACTAAAGGATGTAAGCACTGTTTAATAAAAAACCAAGGATCAACGGAGCAGGCAGGAGCAGCACACTGCACCGCTGGCAATTCCCAGCAATGTGCTGGGAAGTACTGGATGTGTCTTTCGGGCTCTTTCTTCCCTGCGTTGATAAGGAAAAGGGAGGAACAATGACTCTTAATTGCTGTAAGAAGTTTTAGATCCAGGACCAGATTGCACCACAGCAGCCCATTGTTCAGACATCAGGTGCTGAGGAATCCACCGAACTCCGAGAACAATGAGGAGGCGTGACAGCACAAAGCAGGCCCTGCTTTGGGTGCAGAAAGCACTCCTCGAGCAGATCAAAGTTATTTAAAAGAAATCTAAAAATACTTGAACATTAAATCAGCTCTTCTGTAACCCAACGAGGAAGTGCCAGCAGCTGACTGCCTGTAACACACCAATGGGGTTACAAGCTGGTTTCCAGCGTGACTTTATCAACGAAAACAAAAGTACAACTTTTTTAGAAGGGGTAACTTCCAGAAAAAAAAAACAAAAAAAAAAACAAACAAACCGCGACCAATATTCACATGTAACACTCTGGGCAGTGAGGCATTCTGGTAAGCAGAACCAAGTAGCTTTTCCTGAATTACCCCAAAGCTGCAGTTTCACACTGCAGCACTCTCAGCTGCCTGAGCTCCTTGGAAAGCAAACAGGAGTCTCACCTTGTAGCTCCACAGGGATCCAGACCTCACAGAATAAATATTTAAAAAAAAAGTCAAGGAGATTTATGAGATTAAGAATTACTTCTAAATAATAGTACTTTAATTTAAATAATGTTCTAAGATGTGGCATCCTTAGTACAAGAGAGATGTGGACCTGTTGGGAATGAGTCCAGAGAGCCACAAAAATGATCTGAGGGATGGAACGTCTCCCTGCAAGCACAGGCTGAGAGCTGGAGCTGTGCGGCCTGGAGAGAGCTGAGAGCAGCCAGTCAGTGTCTAATGGGCTGTAAGAAAGAAGGGATGGACTCCTTAGTGGTGTTTGCTGTAGGGGAAATGGTTACAAACTGAAAGAGGGGAGATTTAGATTGGATACAAGGAAGAAGTTTTGACACCGAGGGCAGTGAGGCACTGCACAGGGTGCCCAGAGAGGTGGTGGTGCCCCATCCCTGCACGCAGCCACGGTCAGAGGACGGGGCTGTGAGCACTGATGGAGCTGTGGGTGTCCCTGTGCACTGCAGGCAGCGGGAACAGACGGCCTTCGGGGGTTCCTTGCAACTAAAGCGATTCTACGGAAACGCAACCATTCACAACTGCCCACAGACGAAAGCAGAGATTTTCTTTTCCACCTTCTGCCCTCGCCGTCAGAAACACCGAGCGAAGCAGCCAAGCTGCCAGCGGCGGTACCGCGGGAGGAGCAGCCCCAGCTCACCGCCCCCCGGCCGACACAGCGCCCTGTCACTCAGACCCCGCGGGCTGTTTTTAGCCGCCAGAGGAGGACGGTGACATTTATTTGACCGTCAGAGCGAGAGCGCTTCGCCGCCGCGCTCCGAAGCGGCGTCCTCCGCCCGGACAGCGGCGCGGCGGCGAGCGGCTCCCCTGCGAGCGCTTCCACGTGAAGTAACCGGGAGCGTCCGACGGATCGCGGACCAAAGCGACACAAAAACAAAAAGCAGCAGGAAGCGCGCACAGCTCCCTCAGAACGAGGCAACCCCGAGAGTTTCTCAATACATCGTCAGTTCACGTCGATCTCTAAACGTCCAAGGGATCGTTCGCCTTTATTTACCTACAAAACAACGCCGCAACCCGCGGACCCGGCCCTCCCCCCGCCGCGAGGGCCGCCCCGAGGCCGTGAGGGCAACGCGGCGCTGTCAGCGCCAGACGGCCGCGAGGCGAGGCGAGGCTCAGCCCCGCTAAGAGCTAAATCCCCTCGCGCGGCGCTCCCTCAGCGCGGCGCGGCGGGAAAGGCTGCAACGCCGAAAGGGGAAGCGCCGCTCCGCCCGCCCGCCCGCAGCCCCTCACCCACCGGGCGCTCACCATGGCGAAGCCGGAGAGCAGCGCGGAGGTGCGGCTGGAAGCCTTCAGCTTGGCGCGGCTCAGGTAGAGCTTCCGCCAGGACAGCGCCTGCATCGAGTGCTCGTTCAGGCTCATGGGCTCCGGGCGGCGGAGGAGCGCGGCGGAGCGAGCGGCACGCGGCGACGGGAGCTCCTTCCCTTCCGGAGGCAGAGCGAGAGCGCCAGCTGCGCGGCTAACACCCCACGGCGCCCGGCGCTGCTACCGGTGCTGGGGCCGCGCCTGCCGCCCGCCGCTCCGAGTCTGCGCGCCGCCGCCCGCCCCGCCCCGCCCCTCTCTGCCGCCTGAGGGGGCGCCGCGCGGCCGCTTCCCGCCTCCAGCGCTGAGGTAAAGCGCGACCCGACGGCCCTGAGCGGAGCGCTTCTAATCCGTCAGACGCGTTTTGCTGAGAGGCCTCTGTGTTTTCTAAGGTAACTTCTCACACCTTTGTGGGAGCTGCCCGTGCGCTCGCTCTCAGGACAGAGAAAAGGGTCGTGGCAGCCGTTACCCGCGCCTCTCGCCGCCTTCCCTCAGAGCGCTGCCGCCGAGCCGCCCTCAGCCCGCCTCCCTGAGAGCCGCCGGCGCTTCGCTTCACAGCAAACCCCGCCCTCGGCACCAGATCAGCGTTTGTGCAAACTCGTTTATCAGCGAGCGGCTGATAACAGCCGGCCGTTAGCAGAACGTCTCCGTGCCAGTGCTTGTCGGTTTTGCAATCGCCGACACCACGCAGTCCTGTTTGTTTCCCTGCGTTTTACAGAGGGAAAAGCGAGGTGCAGAGCAGGCAGTAAGCTGCTGGCTCAGCTCCGAGGGCCAGTGCTGAAAAGATGAGGCTTAAATCCACCACTAAAGAGTTCTAGCAAGGAGATGGATGATTCTCGCCATAGAAACGCCGGGCAAGGACTCTGCCTGCAGGTACGCTCAAGCTGAATCGCTGCAACAGCGGTGCTGTTAGGAATTAAAAGAATGGGTGATTTTCGGTGATGCTGAAGTTTTCCACCTCAAAATAATAATTGCAACACACCTTGAGTGTCTTCACTTTGGTCCTCTTAGCACCTTTCTTTATTTGCAAGATTGTTCTTTTTCTTATATCTAAAGCGATGACAGAATGCACACACGCAGATCACGCTGCTTCTCTCTCCATTTACACCACCAAGCAGCAGCTGACACAGCCAGGGAAAAAATCTGGACAATTTGAAGTTCGTAGATACAGTGCCTGAAACAACCTGGTCATAGATTCTATCTCATTCTTCTCTCAGGAAATGATCAGAGTTGTTCTAACATCAAAAATACCTGTTAGTTAAACGTTTGTCTGCAGGATCATTGAGAGATCTTTGTGGAAAGCAGTTTGACTCAGAGTTCTCATAATAAAAGCAACCCCAGATGCCGTTTGCTACTTCTTTCTCTTCCAAGGGTGACAGTAACACTCCATAGGAGCTGTGTGAAAGGCAGCATACAACATTATTATAAAGTGCTACTCTGTTTTATGTGTTTGATGTCTTGAAATGAACAACAACAACAAAAATCAACACCACACCTCTTCCATTTGCATCTATAACTGCGTATCCATTTTCTTCCTTTACATCCCATTTTAAACCTCCATTCTGAGATATAAACTACCCGGGATAATTCTTTTATTTCCAACCCTAATTACTCACCACTACATACACCTCTCTCCTCTAGAGCTAGCTGAAACGATGAGTCACTCGGGCTTAATTAACTTAGAAATGCTTCAGGGAGTTCTGAAATCATGCGGGAGTTCAAAGCCGGGGTTTGTTGATACCTCGGATGAGTGCAATAGCAGAAGGCCGCCAAAAGGGTGTAGTCCTGCACTCTTCCTTCAGCTCATCTCATTCGCCCGTCCATCCTGTAAACTACATCACCCCTCTGGCTGCAGAGCAAAAGAACCGACATAACAAAAATGCAGGCATTTTTTCGTCTTGAGTTAGTTTTGTGTTTGGATCAGGCAGCTGAACAGAGCGAGCTTTCCTGTGGGTACGCAAACACTAGCCTTAATGTGGGACATATATGCATGAGAAAGGGAATTGGCCCCTGCAGCAGCAGGCTGCTGTTGCTCCTAATTAGAGGTAACGTTTGCCCATTCTCTGGATCATTTTTGCATGAACACAATCAGAGGAAGCAGCAGGAGTCCCAGATTTCTTCCCAGAGAGCCCTCAGAAATCTGTATGCTGTCGTACAGGTACTCAGGAAGTTTTCTCCTAAAATTGTATTTGGGTATTTTTTTTATCTTACCCCTGGTAAGGAACCACAACGTGGCTCTGGGGGGAAATGAATCCTCAGCCCAGCTGCCAGCAGTTAACCTGCATCCTGCAGCATATGGCCTTGATACTGCTCTAAATGGCTTCATCCTATCTAGTGCAGCTGGGATGTGATCCTATACATCCTACCACCCCTCTTTTTTCCTCAGTTCTTTTAAGTTTGTGACTTTGTGTTTTGGTATTAATACACAAAATTATTGCAGTTGTATTTCAAAGGGAAAATGAATTGTAGCTTCATTGGAATCACTTCTGTCTTAAAACGAGATTACAAATGTGTTTTCTATGTTTGGAGGTTTATAGATTAAAACTGATATTTCTGAAGCATACTTCCATATTTCAGTCATGTGCTCAAGTGTTTCCAGGTGTGTGTGATTAATGCAGCCCTTGGTGGGTTGGTTTGGTGCACTGAGAGGCTCAGATAATTCATGTCCCAAAAAAAGATTGAGAAAAATGACTTGATTTTCTTTTATGTCTATGTTCCGTCTTTGCTGGTGGACTTCTGTAGACTGGATGGATGATGTGTTTTTTGTCTGATGAGTCTCTAGTAACGTCCATTTATCTCGTACAAGTCCTCTGCCCTCAATCCTGCAGATGTACACATGCATTTAATTTTAAGATTGAGTAATCTTGGCTGAAAGGTCTCCATATACATACATCTCTTCAGGATTATGGATTAATAATGCACTCCATACAACAGACATCTGCAGCCCACACTTCAGTATATAACCCATACAGTGCTTCTATATGATAATAAAGTTCAATCATCTGCAAGTAGGAAGATGTTAGAGAAAGATTACACGATCCCTCAAGATTCTGCAAACATTTGTTGGCAGATGCAGAAAGAGGAACTCACTGCCTTAAGTCCTGTGTTAGAGCCCTTTTCAAGAGACAAGCCCTTTATCCATGTGCCTTGGGTTGATACAATATGGGCCTTCCAAAGAGATGAGCAACAAGGCCTGAAAAGTTGAATTTTTGTGTTTTTTATCATAATATTGATTACATTGATGCAGTGCTTAGAATGTAATTGAAGAGGTATGCAAGGGGAAAGCGGATGCTGTGTGCATACATTGTTGTTCAGCACAAGCAGACAGAAGTAATGAAATGCCCTATTTAAGAAGGACCTCAGTCTCCACATAAGCAATCTGAGAAAGGCAGCTTGAATTTTGTTGCTGAGGTTTGTTGGAGCAGAGGCCCGTAACTTGGGGGCTGCAAGGACTGTAGCAAAGGTAGAGTCTCATTTAAGTTCACATCAACTGCAAAAATTATATGTGTGAAAAACAAATCAGAGAGAGGAGCACAGCCAATGCCATCAGCCCGTGGTGACCCTGCAATGTCCCCTCTGACGGGGAGGGCTCCAAACCTGCTGCCTGCCCTGCAATCAGGTGGTCCCAACAGCTGCTCGTACCGACGGCCACGTTGGGTGCTTTTAGGATTTCTTCAGCCCCCAGCCGAGGAACTCCTTTCCCCCACCACACGGCGCTCAGCTCCGGTTTAAAGCCCTACTCGCTGCCCTCCCCTCGGCTCCCTGCGCTGCCACCCGGCCGCAGTTCCCTGAGACCTGGCACAGCGCATCGCCGCCCCTCCCCTTCCCTCCCCCCAAAAAAGTGCTGGTGCAAACTTGCCCAACTCTAGCGAGACCTTTAGCAGCCGCCTTTTGTGTTCCCTCCTCCCTGTTCGGGCCAAACATGCAGGACAGGAACCGTTGACAATTAAGTGATGAAACTCTCCGAAAAAATGAAGGCGGAGAAGGATTCTGGAAGAAGATTGGTGTGTAGCCGTCTTCGGTCTCTTTCCTATTTGTGCCTTTTAATTGATTTTGCGTAATTGTTCGCACAGGGAGCGGGGCAGGCTGCAGAGCGCCGTAGCTCGCCACGGAGCAGCGCAGACACCGGGAGGGGGGATTTAACCGAAGGGAACAGGAGAGGGTACAGAGTTATTTCTCCCCGTGGCAGCGGCCCGGGCCGGTGCGTGTCGCACCCCCGACCCCCAACTCCGGGCGATGCTGTAGGGCGGGGGCAGCGGCACCGACCCCCCCCCCGGGCCTCGTTAACCCCTTCCTCCCCTGATTTTGGGCTCCGGTAGAAGCGCGCAGGCTCCAGCCGCGATAAGGGGGTGGGGGGGGGAGAATCCATCGCGGCGTTACATAATGCGCCCAGCTTTTAAATCGTGGCTTCCGGCGTGGCTATGGAAACCCCGGGATTATGTAAATACCGAAACCTTAACGCTGCGCTGTGGGGTAAATGATACCCCTCTGCACCCCCGGAGTGGTCCCGTGTTCACGTGCGGCAAAATAATACCGATAACCAGCGGTGGGGCCACGCGTGTCCCTCGCCCCTGTTTGGCTTTTCCCCCAGCTCAGCACCTGTTAACGCTGTCAGGAGATGGAAAAGGTGCTGTAAGCGGCTGGGGCTCGTACCGGGGGAGGTTTGGCGAATTTCGTTCCCCTACCGCTGATTGCATCGCCCTCCCTGCCGACCCCACTTTTCCACCCTGTGTGCTTTGTGTTTTGCAGCGGCCCATTGGTAGGAGGAGGTACGATGAGCACGAGGACCTCTCGGACGTGGAGGAAATCGTCAGCGTCAGGAGTTTCAATCTGGAGGAGAAATTAAAGAGCAAAACGTACCGCGGGGATTTCGTGCACTCTATGGATGGGAAAGGTACGGCCGCAGCCGCCTCCACGTGTCGGGCACCGGGGAGCCGCCCCTGAGCCGGGTGCTTTGGCTGCGGGTGCACCCACGAGCCGCTCGCAGGGCCGGGGCTTCCCCACTCGCTAAGTTCTTTGTGTTCCCGGCGCGGCTCGGTGCGCCCGGTGCCGGAGACCCGCGGGGGCAGAGCCGCAACCCCGAGCCCGGGGCTGTCACCAAACTGCTCTTCTGAGGGCTCTGTCTGAACCCCCTTCCCCAGGGAAGGGTTTTGCTGTAGTCCTCCCGAAATGTCTCTAACTGCGGGGCCGCTAATTTAGTTAAGAAACTTTCTGTTTTTCACCTAGGCTTCGTTTTGCACGAGCGTTTAAGCTTCCTTCTAAAAAAAAAAAAAAAAAGCTAGTGTGGTGGAGAAATTGAACACCTATCTTGTTTAGGAAGGTGTTTGTTTAGGAGATAAGCTTAGTCCTGACCCCTTCTTCCTCCAAAATAAACACAAACATCTATTCTTTTTTAGCTCGAAAACATTAATTAATTTTCCAGAAGCACGTTCTACCCTCACTTTCCGAGCGCTCCCGTGGCTGCCATCGCTCTGCACTGACCTTCACCCGGTTGTGCAGCCCTAAAGTCTCTGGGTAGCATTCCCCTATCTGAGGAACCTGAAAACAAATGGGTGTCCTTTGTTAGTTTGTTGTGGTCCGTGTCCGCTTTGTTCAACCCCACAAGAGATTTAAAAGCTTGTTGGGGCATTATAAAGAATGGCTCTGCCTTTCTATTCACACTTTTTATTTCTTTACTATTGGTTTGTTTTTTCCTGCAAAACCAGGTGCTGAATTGCATTGAGGCAGAACAATGACAGTGTTTAGTAACAATAAAAAAGTCAGGTTATATGAACACGTGAAATTGGTTGAATGATACTTACTTCTATTTCCTATGTCTTTGTCTTTATTTTTTAACGATAACTCTTTGACTTTTCTTTCCTGCCAGGATTGGGGGCTGGAGGTTTTCTTCACACTCATCATAGCTGCTTGTTTTCTGGGCTGTAAATCTGTCTCTGCTTCTTCAACTGTTGTTATTCTTGATGTTTGTAGACTTTGTCTTGGATGGGTGTTTCCTTCAAAATAAATAAATTTGTGGTTTATTGAGCTAAGGCCAGATCTGTTATAAGGTAATACGCATTTGAAATGAAGGTTTATCTAATACAGAAATACTTAATTGGTATCTTAGCTAATTAGAGTATTAATTATCCTTATCCGCAGACTAGTGGAAATAATGTGTCTGCAATTTTAATGTTTTTGTAAATAACTATAATTAAAGTGCTCTGATGTGACAACTCTAGGTAGGAAAATTACATCAATTCCTGTCATAGGTAGAAATTGAATGTATCAAGGAAAAGGCTTGTTAAGGGAGAGGGAAATAGATTCAAAGGCTTGGGAGCTTAGCCTCTGCTCTCCCTAATTCTTATAGTAGAAATCTTCGATACGTATGCTGGAACCTGATGAAGTTTTTATGCTCTCCCAGGCAGCACGCATGCTCGTCTGAACATACCCAGTTATAATGCATTCAGTGTTTTGTGTCTTTGGCAGTGTCATGCGTAGCTGCTAAAGATTCAAACAATACTTTCCACTTTAAGGCAGCACATGAATGCCAGTTCGAAGAGAACTGTGGGGTTCTGCAGGCACTGCTCGCTCAAATTGCTGCCTTGTAACTTTCTAATCCCTGAATCACTGCTATTGTATCAGACCACCGCATAAAGAAATCCCCAGGAAAGCCTAAATCCGTGTAATCCTCAGGGTGAAGCAACAAGGTGATGCTGGTCAGTGTTAACAAACTTGCATTTAATTTTCAGTTTGTTGGTGTGCTATTCTGTGACCTCCACACAAAAACTATTCATTTTCACCACCTTCTTAAATGCCAACAGCTGTGCACAAGTTCTGTGTATCAGTTCCTGCAGTTAGATTTCTAATTAATTAGGGGAATGTCATCAGCTGAAAGTAATAATCCTCATATGGAAACAAAACACATTTACAGGATCAGGGCTTTGTGCTATACTCAAATGATACTTGGAGGGAAACTTTCCCCTAGTTTAAAAAAATTAGATATCTATAGCTTGAAATGTATAATGTCAGAACTTAAGTTTAAATTACTCGTTTGCCCCAGAAGTACTCTGCTGATTTGCAGCAATTTAGTTAGGATTCTCTTTTAACTATTAATTTATTATTTCATTACAACCTGCGTGTTGCAGCCCAGACCTTAACTGACCCAGTGACTGGATACTATTCTACATGCATCAACTAACAGGAAAAATAGAGCAGCTGGGAGAGTACTGTCTGTCATTTGATTTCTGGTTTGGACCTAAAATATGCATTCTCTTTATGTTTTTCTCTGAGTAATAGCAGAGTTCTCTGGTGAGACAAGGAGAACAGGTTGCATTTTGAGAGAATGCAATGTGAGGTGCTAATGCCATTGTAATTGATTTTGGATTTCTTTATTCCTTATTCAAACAGATTTTACTTTTGAGTATGTGCAAAGAGAAGCTCTCAGAGTTCCACTTATCTTCAGAAATAAGGACGGACTGGGAATTAAGTAAGTTACCACCAAATCTTGATTAAGAAACGCTTTTATAAAACCACCATTATGCTTTGCTCTTATTTATGATGGTTCTTCTAATGATCTCAAAAGGTATTGCAGTTAGTCAGACTGTCAGCACCCTTGAGAAGGAGAGTGATATTTTTCTACTTAAAAACAAACAGATAATGAGTTCAATAAAACTTAAGTGCATCTAGTGCTGTTCTATATAATAAAAAAAATAAATCAGTGATACACGCAGGCATAAAATTCAAATGTTCTTGCTTCCAATCAGTGCTGCAAAGACAGAACAGCCACCCTTCAGTTTTTGACTTCTCAATCATTTTCTGCGTTACAGGTGGAAAGTCTAATGTTGCTCTTTTTCCTTGATAAAATTATCTCCCCAGAGTGTTACTACTTCATAAATATTTAAAATGTGGTGTTACTAGAGTCTTTTTAAGTTTGCATTTTTTTAATACTCAGTCATAAAGGATTTGGTATTTATGCAAATTCTACAAGTCCTTTTTAATAAATGTGGCAGTGTTGAAGAGAGTATGTAGCAGAAATACTGAGTCATGGCCTGAAGCAGTGATAGAGCACCTGGTGGGAAGTCAGAGCCAGCCCAGGGGAGCTCAGATGCAGGCAATGGACATGAGTGATTGGAAGGGGTGGAGCCAGGATCCAGCCCTCATTTAAGGCTTGGCAGTGGAGGTGAGGGTATCTCTCTGGAGATCCTTGCCTACTGGAGGCCTTCCAAAGGTAAGCGGATTTGTTGTTGTTTCTGTGTCTATGGCTGCTGCATTTCGGCTTATCCTCACTTTCTGCAGTTTAGGACTTTGCTACCCTGCTGCTATTGCTGTTCTTTCCATTGTATTATAGAGTTACACCACCACATCATGGTGTTACAGAGTAATACTAAAAGGTTCAACTATAGATTGTGTGACTGATAAAATACAAGCTCTTTTGATATTTTTGGATACTTCAACTATATAACTGATTATATATGAATGATAGAAAATTAATTCTGTGAAAGAACTATTACTTCACTCAACTTCAGCTGAGCATCTCACGGTTTAATGCCATGAGTTATTAAACAATTGGGTATTAACAAAGCCAAGTTACCAGTGTAACCTAAGGAGAGACTAGATTACAGGTCTATTATGCTGAGGCCCAAAAATGGCCTTGCTCAAATGCTTGTGTATACACATACACAGTATGTGTCAGTCATCAGAGAGGACCACTTAAAGGTAAGCTAGCCACCTTTTTTAGGTTTATTAAGGTAGTTCAATAAATAGAGTGTCTAATGCACAGATTGGATGTGAAGAACTAACAAGACCAAGTTGTAGCATCACTCTTCATTTTCAGTTGGCTTCTTGGAGATCTGGCAGTTAAAATGAGTATTTTGACTTCAAAACAGGACTGTGAGGAGGTGGAAGAGGAATAAATACTAATCCTCAGTAGGAGTTTTGGAGTCACTTTCCTGATTCTTTGGTATGCTAATGCCTTGAGTGATGAAGGAGAATGAGTGGTGAAGGAGAATAAGTGCTTCATTTTGCTGTGATGAGCTTAAAATATTCTCAGCAGCTAGACTTGACTAGCCAGTGTGTCTGTTTCCTACCAACCTCTGGTATCATTCTAATACTGGAGATGGAATTCACCACCGAAGGAGAAAGAGGAGTAAAATACTGAAGCTTCCTTTAAAAATATTTTTGAGCATAGAATCCATATCACCAACCTCCATATCTTGATCAGTTAATATGGTGATAAAAGTAAGAGCAAATTTATCTGATATGATCTCTGAATGGATCCTGCATGGATTCAACGGACTTGTCCATTTCACCATAATGGAAACATAAAACCATTTCAGAGTCAGCTGGGTGGGTCTTATATTTCCATTCTCTTCTGAATCACTGACTGCTGTGGAGGATTAAAATGTTAGAATTTGTAGATCAGTAATCTCTTATAGGATGCTTCACATTCTAATTTTTTTTCTGAAATGAGCATGAGTTATTAGTTTGGAATTGAATATTGTGAAGGAATTTCACATAGTTGGGTGTAAATGCCACTGGAGTGAGAGAAGATTGAAGGCATGATGTGTGTATATTTTAAATGATAGAAGTGAAATGCATGAGCAGTCTCTCCTGTTTGAGACTGAAAGATAACATGGTATAATTTTATTTACAGTTTCACTTCTTACAAGTATTATTGAGGGTGGCTGTCATGCAGTATATACCTTTTGTGGATGTGTAGATATAGAAAGGCTCTGTGCATTGTATTCCAGTGAGATGAGAATAGTACTGATGCTTGCCTAATTGATTTTAAATACTTAGTCTCCTTATCTGCTGCTTGAAATAATGATTGTTGTAGCATCTGCCTCACATCAGTAGAGTGAGATGGGCCAGTTTGCCTTTGGATTTGGGTCATTTGCTGATAATGGAAACTTATATTCCTCTTCAGGCTCTGGAGAAAGCCATGTTTTTTTGGTCCTCTCTAGTAATGCTGTCTCCTGTCTATGGCAGGCTGTATTTGTCATTTAAGGATCACCTAATCTACCATATACGTGTAGGGTGACTTTTGAGATGTAGTAGTCCATAAAATACATGATATGAGAATTTCCACACTTCTGTTTGATGTTAAGCAGTCAGCTTGTATGTCTGTGGCTGGCAGATGTACAAAGCATAGCTGAACAGTCTGGTGACTGATTGGGGATACTCCAAAATGTTGAGAAATAAGATGAATGAGGAAAAAATATTATAGGAGAACTTTGAAAATTGATTTCATGTGCATTTCTGATCATCATGAACTGTTACTTCTATAACTAGAAGCAGAAAGATCCACCTGTGATCCATTAGCAGAAGGTAATCTTGTTTTCATAGAGTTGTTTGATCATTCCTATTACTGTATCTTGGAGAGAAAATGCTGCTTGGAAATAGTTGTCCCTCTTGTCCGAACATAGAGCAGTAGCAAAGTAACCCTAATTGTATAGGAGTGACTGTGGCAGTTATGCTGAGTGAAGCTGAGGGTGGAGTACAGTAATTTACAGACTCAGCAGCAAGCAGAATTGGCTTGATTTAAAACTGGACCTCCTAAGGTGTAACTCAGCTACAGTACGGGTTCTTGTAGTTGAAACCTGCTGTGTTCAAGCCTGAAATTCTTCTCTTGGTGGACTCTTTGTACAACACATCCTGAGGATGCAGAGGAAAAAAACAAGAATATGCCAGGTGTGCTCTCCAAACAGCTATTAATTTTATTTGTAAAGTTGATTTTCAGCAGCTGTTGGAGCTCTCAGAAAGAATGGGTTTGCTTGCATGCATCTGTGTTAGGGCTGCTCTCTATTTTGGCTGTTGAATTTATTTTGATTTCTGCAAATCTGAAGAAGATTGCTCATCTTTGCACCTGACATAAAGCAAAGGCAAACTTTGGTACTTGAAAGTAAGCCTTGCTTATTCTTGCTGCCCCCAAATTGTTCCTCCTTCCCTGCTTCTGACTCCTTAGAGCTTGGGTATTAAGATGAGCTTTGATTCGGGCTGCTTCGTTCTGGCAAGCGAGTGAATTCCAAAGCTGTGGGGCCCTCATCAGTAAATGCAAAGATGTGAGGGTTGGCAGCAACCTAACAAAAGATATTGTCCAGCCTCCTCATTCCACCAGAGGAAGGTGATAAGGGTGAAGTGAGCGAACAAACAAGTTTTGGCAAATAGTTCTGAAGATACACACATGACAATAAGTGCATTTTTCTAACTGTATCTTTTAATGTTTTCTTAATATAAGAACCCTGAAAGTTTGCATATAGTCTGTATACTTCTGATTTCTATCAGAATTGTGTCAAAAGCACTATACCAAAAGCAAGTTGTTTGTTTTCCCCCCAGGCACTGCTCCTAACTGGCAGTTCCTACAGGGCTGGTTTTCATCACAATTCCTTCCTCAGTATACGAAGATGTGAAGTGTGAGATAATCTCATTATGATGAAGTTAATCAACTTTAAATCCCTGCTACTGTTTTTGTTTTCTTTTTCCATCCAGTCAATGAATTGCAAATTCTTACTCTCTCCTGACACTTAAAATTCACTCACTCTGTGTATATTAAACACTTAAGATATTGTAAGTGATCTTATGAATGTGTCAACATCAGCGAACCAATTATGAAATCATTTATCTCTCAATTAGCCTGAATTGAATCAAACAGCTACTTCTGTACCCATCAAAATGGCTGGGTTGTCTTCTGCTAGGTGAGAAGGTTTGGAATAGCCTTTAAAACAAAGGGGCTTATAGTTGTTATTTTTGATTCTTTATTTCTAAACTGAGAATCCAGCCTATGATGATGTCACTTTGAACAACTTACTTTTCTTTGCCTCAGTTTGTGTCCACTGGAAAAACTGGAGAGTATACAGATAGCACAGTGAGCTGCCTAACAGAAATGAGCTATGAAGGTTTGGGATTTCATTGAAATAACTTCCAGCCCCTTCCCTTTTCTCCCACTTCAGTGCTGCTAGAGAGTGCTTGAGAAGACACCTCTTCTGGTTTGTTATGAGCAGAGGAACTTTTATATGCTTGCCAGTGTGAGGGCACTGTGTGCCATTAATGCTTGCACTGCCCATGCTTTAGAGAGGCCTTGCTTGGTTCTGCCTACTATATTATGGACAGAGGCCACTATGTATTCACTTTTATTATGATAACAAAAGTGTGTCTATACTTACCTGACGGTATTTAACATTGCTTTCTTTGCTAATTATAGAATGCCTGACCCGGATTTCACCGTCAGAGATGTGAAGCTATTGGTGGGTAAGTCATTTTGAATTAACTCTATACAAAACAGAATTGCTTTGAAATACTTGTCCAGTTGTGTTTGTAGACATTTGTGATAACAGAATTTGGGAAAAGGAATAAAAAAGCAATTTGTAAATTAAAAAGGCTGGGGGAAAACACTAATTGGTAGTGCTGACCAGGCTCTGATCTCATGCTGGATAATTGGCCATTTAAAGGAAAGTGAATGCTTTTGCTCCTAACAGGTGTATGCTCCTACATACACTTTTGTGATCTTGGAAAGCAGCAGTTCCATTCATCAAGTTCCTCTTCTTTTATCTGTTGTAGAGCATCTGTTGGTAAAAGGTCTGATCAGAGGCCTATCACCTCTTGCCTGTGCCCTCCTCACATGCTTTATCAGTGTCAGGCCAGGTCAGTGCATGGAGGAAAGGTTGCTAAAGGGACCGAGCACAAAGCTCTGCAAACTGCCTGTCTTTGATAAGAGACAAAGCAGAAGTGGTGACTGCAGTCATCAAATGTTTCCTAGCAATTTTGGCAGAAGAAAGAAACCTAAAGCAACATTCTGAGTAGGAGATTGCATAGTATGTTTCTCCGAAATCTCCTTTTACTTACGATGGATATGTTTATACTGTCTCTGCAATGGTTACTGCAAAGTGACACTGCACTCTGCTGAGGCATGGCTGTGCAGCTAGCGGAGCGCTGGGTTGCGTAGCTGCTGTCCTTCAGAGACCTTTAGCTGTGTTCTTGTGACCTAGAGGTGGTGGTTGTTGTTCACCTGCATTGTGGCAGGAGTTAATCTTTTAGATCAGTCCATTCTGAAAGAATTTTTGAGAATTGGTTGAGTTTGATAATCAATAGGGATATTGAGTCTGTGAAGGCTGCTGTTAAGAAAAACAAAGGAGAAAAATTTGGGCTGCATTTCTCTTAGCTGGGGTTATCTGTGAAAGAGAGGTTATCTCTGCTAACCTTCCTTCACAAACAAAACTTGGCAATCTTGCTTAATTTATGATCGTTTATAAGCTCTGGAAAGAACCTTTTTGGGTTAAAATGTTGAAGTGCTGTGGGAAGTGCTATTTAGTAGCGTTGCTGTTGGTCAATTTGCAGTTAAATCAGGAAATAGCGTGAGTATATTAGTAATTCCCAACTCTTACAGATTTCCTAAATGCCTGCATGAACACATTTAGATATTCGACTACCTCTTTTTGTTGTGGAGATGCCAAGTGCTAGGCCCTGTTTGCAGTGTTCTGTGAATTTGCTCCATAGCTGAGAAGTTGCCATTTTTGCTTCTGGAAGTGCTGGAGCTGATGCTCAGTTGCTGAGATGTTTTGGTGCAGCGTAGCGTTGTATAACAGCACTGTTTTTCCTGTCCAACAGTCAAAGTGTGGGAGTTGCATTTCCTCAAGATTGATGTCTCCTGAAATATTGGGGGTGGGGATTCCTGTGTACATAGCCAGCAAAGCAGGAGGATGTTTATAAAACAATGGAGCAAAAATAACAATTGTAATTAACTTTTAGATTAACTTTAATGTAAAAGTGTGTCCTTCCTCCCAGCTGGTTCAGCAATCCACTGTGAGCTCTAGGCCAGGTACTGCATGTCACGTATCTTTTTTCTCTGGATTTGGACAAACTCCCTTGAAGCCACTATGGTGACCCTGTAATTTGGTACAGGACATTGTCTCCTGTTGTCTTTTATTTTGTAATACAATCATGATTTCTGGCATCACAGATGGGAACTTTGATTTAAAAAAAATCTGAAATATTTGGGGAATTGATGGTAAGTTACATCTTAATAAGTAAATAAAATCCACATGTGGTTCTTACGGGGGCGTTGTGTCACTGCAATCTGTGCTGTATGTAACAGCTGCACTGAGACTAAGAGCAAATAGAACCAATTCTCAGCTTTGTTCCTTACTTCACTATTACATACTTTGAGAAACACTGAATAATCTCCATATTGCATATAATTGCTGATTTTTTTTTAATTTTACATGTTTCACTCACTTTCTAATGTTCCAATATAGCAGATGAAAATTGTTTTATCTCCTCTGACTGTCCCTGAATTTTCTGACAGACTCCTCAGGTCTTGTATGAAACTCAGGTCAACACATTTCCTAAGTCAAAGGTTTTCTTCACAACTGGAAGGGGATTGATGTTTTTGCAGAAGTGAAGTGATCGTAACTCAGTATTTGAATGTGTGTGGGTGTTGATAGAGAATGTATTTTGAAAAAGTTGTGTCCTGTTTAAGCTTGGTGCTATTTAAACCTATCATCTGTTCTCTTAGAGTCAGGGAAGTGTATTTCTTTATAGAATGCTTTAAAGGGAAGGTGTTGCTTATTTTGTAAGCACATAAACTCAGTACAGTTATTGACCTTTTGGTCTCAAATGATTCTGAAATTAACTTGCATTTACAGTGTGATTGTTGTATCACTTTGTATTTGAGCATCTGTAAGTAACAAGGAAATAAGAAGCTAAGCTACCAAATATTGTTAAATCTCACCTTAAAAACTCTAGCCTGTGACAACAGTGAGGAGGAAAAAAGTGATTTTCTTGGTTGCTCGTTGTCCTTATTTGTGCTTCTGTGTCCGTTTCTTAAGATTTCAGCAAACTTCCAAAGAAATGTTGCCATTGCTTTTTGGGATTTGTTTGGTTTTCATTGTTTAAAAAATGCCAGTAGCAGCTGATATTTAGTTTGGAGATATCTGTGACCTGCATGCTGGTTTGCATGAATGTGCACCCGTGTGTAACATGTACAAAAGGTCTTTCCCTACAGTAGTTTTAAAGGACAAACATCTGAAACTGCACAGCTGGGATAATGGTTATGAGTAGACTCCTGTCTTGTAGGGAAGATATCCTGCATATTCTCTAAGTCTGAAACAATGGATTAATTTCAGCAGTTGGAATTTCTCTTGTCTGTGAAATGGCTTTGAGCCAAGAATACAAAGGGAGAAGAGGAAAGGAATTCCTGAGCTGCCCAGGAACTTGAGATAACTCTTGAAAGAAGACAAAGTCCATTGTAATTTAATAACAATTGGGCTTTGATTTCATTGCCTAAGGTAGTTTTGATTGCTAGTTCTGAAGAACAGAATGTCATTGTCATCTCTTCATCAGCTAGCTGACTTAAAATTTTGCAAAGAGGGTCACTGGCCCTCTTAGCAACTCATAAACATCTACACTAAAAGTTGGAGTGTTATTTCTTTAGGCTTCTTATTTCTGCTTTTGGCATGCAGTGCTGGTATACTGATATTTTCCAAGGCTCTCCTGTGACAGTTTCTTCCACCAGTGATGCTGTTGAGCTGCAGCTGAAGTTTGTCACAAATGGGCAGGAAAGTGTTATCTTTGTAGACGTACATGCCTGAATCTCCAGTCAGACCTGTGTGGGTGTTTTATGTGAATTTCTGCAAAGAAAAAGGGAAGTACACTTGCCAAGGTTAACCTAAGAATGAGGCAGGAGAAAGGCCACTGCACAGTTGAAAGCCAAGCAGTGGTTGACCATCTCTAGCCTTTGCTGTCCCTAGATTCAGGAAGCAAATGCAATCATTTGCTTTAGTCTTTGATGCCCAAAAGCCAAAGCATTCTGGGTGCCTCTGGGTTCTGTAACATGCATCACTTCATCTTACTACAGGCTGAGACAATCTCCTTTTGGATATAGCTTTGTGGGACATAATGTCTGTACATCTACAAAGCTGAGCTTGCAATCCAGGCTAGTGGCAAAAGGGGTGAATTTCAAAACGTGCTGAGGATCTTCAAGAAAGGTGACTTTCAGTTATTGTGACTCCTGGGCTGAAGAGGATAAAGTTGTGACCAGCACAGTCACTGGTATAGAGTCAGTAGCAGTGCTATATGGCATTTGCTGTGCCCAGCCAGAGCAAGTAGAGGACTTACGTTGTTCATGGGGTGATGTAGCAGCTGACACTTTTTTAAATCTATGTCACTAAAGGTTTATTAGAATAATTAAGTATAGAGGCAGCAAAGAATGTATCATCAGACATGTATTTTGCTGTTAAAATCAGATGTTGTGCTTCAACTGTCTCATAATAGTTCCACAGTGCAATAGTGCACAGTAAACAATGTGGCCTCATTTTTCCAGGTAGAAACTGGCCTGAAAAGTGAAATGATCTGCTCAGTGTGATATTGGAAACAGTTTCTAGTTTTCTTGTAAGCTGTGAATGATGTACAGAATGCTGACATCTAGAGTGAATTTGGCAGTCATGACCTCCTCTTTGTGGAGGACTGAGCTGGGGGGTGGAACAAGTTCCCTTATTACTTAGTGTAAGCAAGCTGGTGTAAATAACTTAAATTCAGCTGGTACATAAGGTGTTACTGCCCTTCTGTGAGTGTAGTGTGAGAGGTACACACAACAGCCACAGGCTGTGTCAGACTGTCTTCCATCTAGCCATTCCTCTGTGAGACGTGTGCTGCTGTAGTCCCAGGGGGCTTCAGATGAGATAAGAGTTCATACACTGAATATTCCACAGAAAGACATTCACCCACCCAATCCATGCTCTTGGAGGTATTCAGTGATGAAAGGAGAATGGAGAGAGATGAAATGAGTATAAGCATGCATTGTAAGTAATTGTTATTCTGGTTTTATAAAGTGTGATTTTTTTTACTTTATATATAATTTACACATGTATAAATTTCAGTACTCAATCAAGAATCATAAATGCTGTCTTCACAGAAGTGCAGATGGTGGTGGTGACTGCAGGCCAGGTAGGTAAAGGCTGGCAGGAGAGGGGCAGAGACCATGGATTGTATTTCTTATTTATTTTGGTGTGTTAGCACAGTAGTTTCAAGTCAGCAGTGCAAATGTGTTCAGCTTTTTGTTAGCAGCTACTCCAAAAAGCTGAAAAGAAATCAGATTAACTGTTTCTGAGTAACTGCTTCCCAGTGATTTTTGTTTTATTGTTATTCATTCCTCCTACGTATTTGCTCCACCTCTCAAACTGATCTGCTCTGAAAATTGTATCATGGCTGAGTTCACAACAAACTACAAAACAAGTTGAGAGGCTCACAGTGTG